ACCAGCCCTATTCTTCCGCCTTGGCCGCGCCTTACTCGTACCCTTCTGTCTGTCAGCAGCAGAGCCAACTCGGGCTCACAGCCACCGTGAACAGCAGAAATTGGGACTTGAATCCTCTTCTCAACTCTGCTGCAGCCACTGGCAATCCCAGCAGCAGCGCGTGCTACAACTACCTTGCTCCCATGCCGTATTCTGTGCATGGCCAGGCCCACGGGTCTTGAAATACCTGCGCGTTTTGGTTCCTCCATGGTAATCTGCATCGACTGGCGTTTGGCTTTCCCGCTTTACTGCGTTGTGATTTCTTGCATAATTTTTGATACCTCTTTGATTATCGTCACTCCTTAACCGCGAGATTTTGGCACTGAGCCCTGTGGATTTTCTAGCACAGGATAACTCAGTCACGGGCCTCACGGACTTTACCGTTTATTTTTCATGATCACTGTGAATGATCTCATGTCTCTCCTTATACCATCGCCCTTCTTCATGCCTTAATGCCCGATATCCTTTTTTTTCTTTGACGCATTATAGACGAACTGTTGCTGTTCTTCACCATTTACACCATGTTTTTATTTTTTGTGGTTAATGTTGCATTTTCATGTGGGCATGAGGCTTTCGCTCCTTTACGAAGCTGTACAACTATCTGGCATAGCATGGCGCTGCCGTCGTTCCTTCTAGGTTGCAGGTTTGGGATAACACTTGGGATTGATGTACCAGACATCTGGGTTGGCGAAGGATCAAAAGTGTGAAATGGGATTTGGGATCAGATTTGTGCTCCTTGTGTTCTTGTGTTGTTGTTATCACTGTTGTCGTCCGCTGCTGGGTCCCCTCTGCTCCAGTCTCTGTCATTGCGAGTCTCTTCGAGGAGATGGTCCCCGGCATTAAGTCCCTGTTGCCTCGAGTTTGGCGACTGGGGTCTTGCTCGGTCAGGGCAGATCTATATATGCATAGCTTGCGGCGTCTGTGAATAGTGCTGTTTATTTCTTACACCTTCTGACTTGTTTTCTTCTCTTTTGACATTTGGAGGAAGTGTTGACAACTACATAAGTAATCTAATAATCGATCCCCAACCCAGACAGACAGACAGATGTCGTTGTGTAAAACATGCAAATCCGTAAATCCGATAATTTCATACCCAGCGGTACCTGTCCGTATTTTTTCTTCCTCTTTTTTATCTTATCGCCACCATCACCTGACTGGGGCGGGGAAAATACCAGCAGGCCGTCACTCACCGTAATTACTCAGTAATCCTCGGTGACTCAAACCCACTTTCTTCCGCTTCTCCTCCTTCTCGACTCTTCCCTCCCCCAGCTTTCCCTCCACGTATATCCCCAATTGACCGTTCTTGGTCTCTTTCTCTTTCTCCTCGTCTCTTACCTTTTGCTTCTACTTCCTTTTCCTCCGCTTCCCTTTCCCCCGTTCTTACTCCCTTAACCACCACTCGTCGGGTGTCACCCCACCTCCCGCCACCATGGACGGAATCAAGAATGCATTCGCCAGAGCTAAGCAGGAGAAGCGTGCTGCTCTGGTCGCCTACTTCACTGCAGGATATCCTACTGTCGAGGAGACCGTAGATGTTCTGATGGGCCTGGAAAATGGTGGTGCTGGTATGTTGTCGACCCCCGCCTTCTGCAACATTTCAAGATGGAGGGGAACTAATCGATGCTGGTGACCTGCAACAGACATTATCGAAATGGGTGTCCCTTTCACCGACCCCATCGCAGACGGACCGACTATTCAGAAGGCCAACACTCAGGCTTTGGCCAATGGTGTCACGATCCCCATGGTCCTGGACCAGGTCCGCGCCGCCAGAAGCCGCGGTCTGAGGGCACCCGTTCTTTTGATGGGCTACTACAACCCTCTGATGCAGTATGGTGAGGAGCTCATGCTCCAACACTGCAAGGAAGCCGGCGTCAATGGATTCATCATGGTCGATCTGCCCCCGGAGGAGGCCGTTCGCTTCAGAGATCTTTGCGCCAGCGCTGGGTACGTTTTGACTGCATCCTGTGCGCAAAATGGGTAGCTGGTCTAACATTTTCTGTAGTCTCTCTTACGTTCCCCTCATTGCTCCCGCCACCTCCGAGTCCCGCATGAAGCTTCTTTGCAAGATTGCCGATTCCTTCATCTACGTCGTCTCCAGAATGGGTGTCACCGGTGCCACCGGAAAGCTCAGCTCGAACCTGCCCGAACTCCTGTCTCGCGTTCACACTTGGTCCGGAAACGTGCCTACGGCACTAGGATTCGGTGTTAGCACCCGCGAGCACTTCCTGTCCGTCCAGAACATCTCCGAGGGTGTTGTTATTGGTAGCCAGATCATCACCGTTTTGGGTGACGCCCCTGCCGGCCAGGCGGCTAAGCATGCCCAGGACTACCTTACCAGCGTGACCGGTCGTCGCCTTGAGAGAGACGCTCAGGGCAAGGTGACTGGCTCCGTCAACGTGCTTGACCCCGTCCTGAAGGAGGCTCCTCCTGCCCTCTCTCAGCCCACTGATGTCATTACCAACGACGACACCCCGGCTGGCCCGGGCCTGGTCGACCAGATTGAAGCTCTGAACGGCTCTGGTGACCCTGCTCTCATTCCCTCCCGTTTCGGCGAGTTCGGTGGCCAGTACGTGCCCGAATCCCTGATGGACTGCTTGGCCGAGCTCGAGCGTGGCTTTGATGAGGCGCGCAACGACCCTAAGTTCTGGGAGGAATACCGCTCCTACTACCCCTACATGGGCCGCCCCAGCAGCCTTCATCTTGCTGACCGCTTGACGGAGCATGTCGGCGGTGCCAACATCTGGTTGAAGCGTGAGGATCTTAACCACACTGGAAGTCACAAGATCAACAACGCTCTCGGTCAGATCCTGCTTGCCCGCCGTCTGGGCAAGAAGAGAATCATTGCCGAGACTGGTGCTGGCCAGCACGGTGTCGCCACGGCTACCGTTTGCGCCAAGTTCGGCATGGAGTGTGTCGTGTACATGGGTGCCGAGGATGTCCGTCGTCAGGCTCTCAATGTCTTCCGTATGAGACTTCTTGGTGCTTCCGTCGTTGCCGTCGACGCCGGCAGCCGCACCCTCCGTGATGCTGTCAACGAGGCCCTCCGCGCCTGGGTTGTCCACCTCGACACTACCCACTACATCATCGGTTCCGCCATCGGGCCTCACCCCTTCCCGACCATCGTGCGTACCTTCCAGTCTGTCATTGGTGATGAAACCAAGGAACAGATGAAGACCCTTATCGGCAAGCTGCCCGATGCTGTCGTCGCCTGCGTTGGTGGTGGCAGTAACGCCGTGGGTATGTTCTACCCCTTCTCGAACGACCCCAGCGTCAAGCTCCTGGGTGTTGAAGCCGGTGGTGACGGTGTCGACACCGACCGCCACTCCGCCACCCTCTCCGGCGGCAGCAAGGGTGTCTTCCACGGTGTCCGCACCTACGTCCTCCAGGACAAGCACGGCCAGATCTCCGAAACCCACTCCATCTCCGCCGGTCTCGACTACCCCGGTGTCGGCCCCGAGCTCTCCAACTGGAAGGACAGCGACCGCGCCAAGTTCATTGCCGCCACCGACGCCGAAGCCCTCACCGGCTTCCGTGCTCTCGCTCAGACCGAGGGTATCATCCCCGCTCTGGAGTCCTCCCACGCCGTCTTCGGTGCCATGAAGCTCGCCAAGTCCATGAAGAAGGGTGACAACATCGTCCTCAACCTCAGTGGAAGAGGTGACAAGGATGTCCAGAGTGTGGCTGATGAGCTGCCTCGTCTGGGTCCTAAGATCGGCTGGGACTTGCGCTTCTAAATCACCACCCCTCCTCCCTCCTCATCTTTCTTCCTCCCTCATACCTCTTGACATCTACTACCTATTCTATTTCTATCCCTCTTCATCTATTATACTGTAGATTCATTCCGCCTAGACTCTCTACAACCCCCTTGCATTTTCCTCTTACGATTTTCAGAGCGATGAAGGAATCCTGCACCCAAAAGTGATAAGCAAAAAAGGAAAAGGAAAAAGTCTTCTCGGTTCTGTGCTCGGTTTCAAGTTCATTTCATTGTCATCTTTCAGCACTCACTTTTACTACTTTCGGTTGAGGTGATTTCGGTTCATCGTTTCAGTTTTATCTTTTGGCTTGATCTAGAGAGTTTATAGTACATATACCAGTATCGAATGCTATTGGGGTTCTTCTTCAAGTATGCTACTTTACTTTTCCAATGTTATGGTAAAGTTATAGTATAGTACAGTACAGTAATTTTGGCGTCCAGGGTGATGCATTTAGATTGTTACGAACGTAATGACTTAGTTCTTAATGTACGGTGGTAATCGTAAATAAAGCCTTAGATGGATAGATAGTATAGATAAGGTATCAATGCTGTCTGTGTGTGCATGCGGGCGTGTGCATAGTTATCTTCATCGTGTCGTGTCATGTCATTATAAAGCAAACTCCCAAGCAAGTCATTACTACATACACCTCGTCAATCATCAATCTCCCAATATACTTGTATGCTTCCATGTCGTCATCAGCTGCTCCCTCCGCCGAGTCGGCTGCGCACCCATCCCGTAAACCCTCCGGACCCTTCTCCTCGACTACTCCGGCGTTGTTGTTGTTGCTCTGGGGCCTCTGAGCCTGACCATGGCGATGACCACGAGGAGAATGACTGTGAGCTCCAGCCCGATGGTGATGCAGCGTCTCGCGCTGCTGATGGCTGGCTCCGTTCGCGCTCCGGACTGTCGGGAATAACTACTGGGTTGCCGCTTGTGCCCTCTGCTGCTGGCCGGTTTCCGGGAGGACTGTTGGCGCTTTCGGATCTGCATGTCGTTAGAGAGGGTCTGCGTAACGAAGCAAACATAGAAAAGGGAACTCACTGGGGCGCATCAATGCTTCGCCGACAGTGCGGACACGTGTTGTGCTGGTTCAGCCACAGCTCGATGCAGCTGTAGTGAAACCAGTGGCTGCAAGGTAGCACCGTGACCTCTGTCCCTAGTTCCACCGCGTCCATGCAAATCGAGCATTCCGCTCGCCCTTCGCTCCCCAGCATCTCCTCATCGACCTTCTTCTTCGGCAGCGATTGGATCGCACTGGGCGGGGCTGGTGGTGGCGCTCCCCGATTGGCGTTCTGTTCCATCAGCTGAGAGATCACGCGGTCCAGCTCCTCTTGCGAGTATACTGCGTCTCCATGACGATCAAAGTTTAGCAGCGTGGACAGCATGGCGAGGGGATTTGGCCCCGTCATCACCCGCACGCCGCCAGTGCCGCCTGCCTGTGTATTTGTACCGAAATCCGAGCGGAACAGCTCCAAAATACTGATATTCGTTAGCCCTGCAACGTGCAGTAACGTCATCAGCAGCACCTACTCGCCCAGAGTCCGCAGAGGATTATTCACCGGTTGCGGACCATCCGCATCTCGCGGGTGCAGACCGCCGGCCTGCGTGCCGGTCCGGCCCTCCGCCTCGATGTCGAACGCAAAAGATCCCAGTGTCCTCCCGCGGTCGCGATCCGAGCCTGGAGCCTGAGCTTGGCCGCCTGGGCGGTTTTGCTGTCTGTAGGTGCTTGCGAGACCATGGAAGATGCTGTCTAGACCCTGCACCATCGGCATCAGTGGGTCGGGGTTCGCTTGTCGCTGTTGGGTTGGGGGTGACCCCCCTCGGAGACCGTGGGTATAGGTTGTGGTGGAAAAGGTGAAGCGGCCGTCCGGGGACCGATATGTGCGATGGGTGAATCCATTTCCATGTCCCGGTCCCCAACCATGATCGATATCATCATCTTCCTCCTGGTGTGCCCAGGGATTATGGTCTGCCCATGGGTTCGGGGAGCGGGCGTTGTCCGCGGCGGGGGGCGAGGGGGGGCGGTGGAATGAGGGCGGGGGTTCGGCGTCGGGATCTGGCGGGATTTCGATCTGGAATGGTCAGATAGGGATGAAGGAACCGAAAGAGGAAGAGATCATACAATTTCCGTAAAGTCTGACTCGCAGTGCGGACAGATCATGCCGTGGGCTTCGCGCAGCCAGACGCCGCCACAAGCATGGCAGAACATGCGATCCCCCACGTCGGCCATGGCGATCCGGAATCCAACGGCGAAACGAAGCGTGGATGAGAGGGGGACGATGAAAAGGTGGGGTGGAAGGTTGTCACCGTAGACACTAGTCAGATGGTTGTGCAGGAGACGAGATCTGACGAATCAATCAGGCAGAAGGGACGTCGAGGTGGTGGTGGTTGAGAGTTCGAGAGCAGCAGCGCAATGCAGCGTCATTCATGGCTCGTTGGGCACGCATTCGTTCATCCAATGTGGCCACGGGCGTGACGGGGACAAAGACTTAAAGCATGGGATTCATCCGACGGGAAGATATGCTAGATATCAAAAAGAAACCAGCATCAGATGACAGCAAGAAGAAGGAAATAAGAGAAGATGGAGGAAAGAAAGAGAAAGGCAGGAAAGAAGAAACGACTCGGGATGACGTTAGCCACCTGTGGCGCAGCTGAAGACATTCCCATATTGATAGTGATAGCATCCATTAACATTAATCACGCATCCAATCTTGCTGTCAGAACGCCCCAATGCTAGAATAAAAACACCAAGCAGCCCTATTTACACTCATGCACCCAGAACAATCATTTCAAAGTCCCTTCAGCGTCTCTTTGCCCCCCGCATCACCAATCCACCCACCACGCCGGCCGCCAGCGCCAGCCCACCCACGATGGCAATACCCATCAGACCCTCCTTCGACACCTTTTCATCGATGAGCTGGCCCAGACTAGCTGCTTGCAAGTTCCCGGGTTCCTTATCACGCAGTAGATCGTTGTACCGACGGGCTTCGCCGTAGTTACCGAGCTTGTAGTTGCCCAACGCGAGGTAGTACAGGCATTCGCGACGTCGTTCGGGTGCCGCGCGGAAGATCTCCGACAGCAGACGGACACCCTCTTGTTGTTCGACTCGGGCGTTGGATTTAATCAGGCCCTATACATGCTGTCAGCCAAACGGGCCTGCATCGGGATATCTGCCGGCACCTACCCAGGCGTAGTTGAACTTGGTCTGAATCCCCACGTAGTCACCTTCCTTCTCATACTGGGCGCGGAGCACCTGAAGTTCCGCTGGCTTTAGCGGACTGTGCACCGGTTAGCTTCGCTGGGATCTGGAGTATTGGTAGAGTATCCGATGGGGGAAGCGCTGACCTCTCAGCATCGGCAGCATCTGCAGGCATGCAGTTAGCGGGGGGAACCAGCGCCAACAAGAATAGAAGTACTCACAAGGAAGGTTAGAACCCATTATGAAGAAATATCGATGAATCTGGTGGGAAGACGAAGACTTTGGCCAGCAGCGACAAGAGAAGATTCGGAATCATCGCCGGTCTGCCTGGCGTCACGCGCTGTGGCGGTGCGTGCGGCGGTGGCGGTTGCTCCAACAACAAACATCTCTCCACTTCCGGAGTGTATTTGCTGCCATTGCTATCAGAACTACAAGGTAGATATCTAACACACTACGTATATAGCCCTGAATCTACCGTCATAATGCTTCTCGACGAGAATCCCGCTGGTGTATGTTACTTTTGCCCCTTCATCATGCCCCACTGCTGACTCTCCAGCTCATCAACCACACCATCGGCAACTTCAACATCCACCCCGATAAACAAGCCGTCACTCGCATCAATGACTCGCTCGCCGCACTACAACAATCGCGCGAATTGCGTACACGCGAAGCCGAATCGGCCCTGCGCAAGCTCTCGCGGCACCTGTCCGCGCTGACGGCCCAGCATGAGGAGGCCGTGACGGCGCATACTCTGGCAAGCACGCGGCGGAGATGGTCGAGCTGGACACGAAGAAATTCCGGATTGCCAAGTCGGCTACCGAGCTGGAGATTGAAAGCGAGCGCTTAGAAGGCGAGCTGGAGATGCTGAAGGAGCGACTGGCCGATCTGGAGGCGCAGGGGTTGGAGGGCGATGAACCGACGCGCCGCGAGCGCGAGATGGATGATGCGACGCTGTGAGTACTTCTCATTTGTTTGACTTGTAGTACCCGGAGGCTGACTATTTGGTAGGCTGCGATTGAAAATCTACCGGTCCTTGGGCGTGGATATCGAGGCGGACGATGCAGGCAACTTCACCAAGGCGGTGATCCGCAATAGTCGCAAGGGCGATGTGCATGTGGTGAACATTGACCCGAAGTTCTCGCGGTTCTTCTATTCGAACTACTTCTGGTCGACGATGCAGGGGTAGATGTGTTTGATGAGATGGATGGTTCGGATGGCGTTTACGGATATACCCTGGCTTGATATGACAATACTATACTATTATTACATTCTATACGATATGCTCTATATTCAAGTAGACCTACTCTTCAACTCTCTCCTCACAAGCTCCCTCTCCTCCTCACTCAACCCACTCACCCTCCCGTCCCTAGCATACAGCAATGGCTTCTCAAACGGAAACAACCGTTCCACGACCCCCAGCACCTCCTCCCACCTCTCCTCCCCGACATCCCACAACTCAAACCACCTCCTTTGCATAACCTCCATCCTCTCCACCACATCATCTATGCCAGGCACTTCTTCCCCATCCCACGTCACCCTCGCCTCCGCATCCCTGTTATCCCCCTGCTCATTCGCACAATAAACAACCCCAATCCCCAACCCACCCCCGACGACCCCCTCGACCCTCTCGTTCCAAAGCACCTGCCTAACTCTCCCCTCCAACCCAACAAGACACCAAACTAACGGAAACCGACTCCTAGTCAACGCCTCCCGCACGCCCCTCGTCGCCTCCCTGGGACTAACCAGCATCCCGATGACGCCTGTCCCGCGCCACCCCACCGGCGCCGACGAGAACGTCCCCTCGAGCTCACGGACGATATTGGGCCCAAGCTTCGTCTTGAGCGCCTTGCATTGCACAAGGACGCGCGGTGGGTGCTCGTGTGCGGGGAGATGCCAGGTTCCGACGAGGTCTGTGCCGGCGTCGGAGCGGCCGCCGGTGCGGTGGAGGAGGAGGGCAGAGGAGCGGAGGGTGGATTGGATGGTGTATTCGTAGTGGGTGCCGATGTAGGTTGTGCTTGTAGGGGGAAGGGAGGTGCGTGAGGCGTGGGCGAGAAAGGAGGGGAGAGTGGTGTGGGAAGAAGAAGATGGGGGGGTTGGGGGGTGGGGGAGTTTGTAGAGGCGGCGGATTAGGGGGGATAGTGTTGTCATTGTTCTTATTATGAGAGGCTGCTGGTGTGATGCATTGGGTTTGTGTGTATACTATGGTTTAATTGAGTGTTAGTGTTTCGTAGAAGTTATGTGGCGGAGACAGAAATAGACATACATGAGGAGAGAAAGTAAGAAGTTGGAGAAATACTTTATTTGGGGTTATCGGCGGAATCAAAACCCAATCACTTATCGGAGCGGAGATTAGCTTAGCTCTTCCACTTCTTCACTCTCCACCATTACCATCACCATCACCAACCATCACCTCTACAACTATTCTCACAACTACCCTATACACCTACGCCTACACCCCACGCCTATACTACAACCCCGCCACCACCTTTCAATCACAATTTGGAACACAAAAAGGGAGAAAGGAACCCAACATGGCAGACATCTTAACCCAACTTCAAACCTGCCTCGACCAGGTACATCCCCCATCCCATTACCCTCACCCCCAACACCACCACCACCCACACCCAACTAATTCCAAAACCACAGCTCGCAACCCAATTCTACGCGACTCTATGCTACCTAACGACCTACCACGACAACATCCCCGCGACGCCGCCTCCCACAAGCACAACCCCCAGCGCCGCGCCCCTACTAGCAAAAATCCCCAAGAACGCATCTACCCCCCCGGTCCCAGCGTCCGCGCCCCAAGCAGCACAATCCCAATCGCAAGCCTCGCCACCACCACCCGACACCGCAAATCCCCAAACCGGAGGGCAGCATGCAGATCAACAGCAACAAAGCCCAGATGGTGAAGGTCTACCTGCGCCGGACAGCCCCGCTACATTTGCAGCCAGACAACGGGAACTAGCGCGCGATCTCGTCATCAAGGAGCAGCAGATCGAGTACTTGATTAGTGTGTTGCCGGGGATAGATAGTAGTGAGGCGGAGCAGGAGAGGCGGATCCGGGAGCTGGAGGGGGAGTTGAGGATTGTGGAGGGGGTGAGGGAGGAGAGGAGACGCGAGTTGGGGGTGTTGAGGAGGAGGTTGGAGGGTGTTTTGGGGGTGGTGGAGAGGGGGATTTATTCTAGGGATTAGTTTATATTGTTGGTGGATGATGGATGTGTTTCATGTATGTGGGATGATGTATGGAGTATGGAGTTTGACTTGCGTCTTCTAATTAGCTGTCTGTCTTGGTCTTTCTTCCTTTCCTCCTTTCTCCTCTATCGTGTACTGCGGAATTAATCACATAGCAAAAAGGAGATAGTTCAACCATGTCAATGAGATCAAATGAATGGGGTAAAAAAAAATCCATATGAGTCAATGCAGAGAGAATCCAGGAATGCAATAAATCAACCAAACGCCTCTCGGGTATCAAACCAGTATTATCAGTATGCGCATCTCCTTCTAGTGAATATGGCGCTTCACTAGGAAATAAAGGAATCATCGGTATATCGCCATCACTTGAATAAACTCCGGTATTCGCGCATGCGATGCTCCTGCACCTCCTTCTTATCCAGCTTCCCCCGATTCAGACTCAGATCTGCCAATTGCTGCTTCTTCTTCGCAAGCTCGAAGATCTTCTCCTCGATACTGCCCTTCATCAAGAACTGTACTGTCGTCACTTCGCGCGTCTGTCCAATGCGATGAACCCGATCCACGGCCTGTGCCACTGCCGCCGGATTGTACTGGGGCTCCATTATATACACCTTCGACGCCGCTGTCAGGTTCAGACCCACGCCGCCGGCCCCAATTGTCGCCAGGAGCACCGTGATATCTGGGTTGTTGTGAAGCTCTTCCAGCGCCTTGCTTCGCGCTGCCAGACTCATCGTCCCGTCGAGCCGCGTAAACCCGGTGATGTCGTGGTCGCGCAGCGCAATTTCGATCAAGTCCAGGTGCGACGTCCACGCCGAGAACACCACGCTTTTGATCGGCCGCTCCCCAGGCCCCTGGTTCTTACTCTCGTCGGCTGTTTCCAAGAGCTGTGTTACCAGCGCCTTGGTCTTCGTGTGTGGCCCCTCGTACTCCCCTAGCGTCTTGCCGTGTCGTCGACTCTGTTTGGCTTGCGCCTGATCCACCAGGTAGTCCTGCAGTCCGCCTACCGTGATGGTGGAATACGAGGCGGGCATCCAGCCATCACAAACTTGGCATTTAATATCGTGTACGGAGCCCACTGGACGGTCGAAAGCGTGTTTCCACCCCGAGAAACAGTCTGGACACAGGACATCAAAGCACGGCAGCAGGATCGCCATGGCTGTTTGCTTGTCGGTCGGACCATTGTCGGAACTTGGCTCCTCCAGGCGCTTCCCGCATACAGCGCATGTGTCTGCGGAAGTCTCCTGCATGAGTGTGAACATTTCGTAAGCCTTTTTGTCCGTGGCTCCGGCAGCGTCGCCTGCGCCCTCTTCGAGATCGATTGCGTCGTGCACGCTCATCCCTTTGATACGCTTGCGGTCGTCTGGCTCGAGGAGTTCCTTGCCATGCGCACTGATCTGTCGGAGGATCATCATGGCCTTGAGGATGTGGTGGTACATGCGACCTTTCATCTTGGACTGTTCCTCACCGGCAATTACCCGCATCATCACGTTGGACTCCTTGCGGAAGAACTCATGCAACTGCTGTTCCTTCTCCGTAAAGGTGAGCATGATGATCTTATCGTGCCGTGCCGGAAGATCTATCTTGTCCTTTACCCGGCGAAGGGTGAAAGAATCCACCAGCACCCGCAAGCTGGCTAGTACTGATGCATCGCCCGTTTTGAAGCGACTGAGGATGTGCATTCCGAACCGCCCTCGGTCGTCATAAGGAAAGAGCCCCAGGAACTTGGTGACCGAGAGGAGGTCTTCGAGGCGATTCTGGATGGGCGTTCCGGTCACGGACCATCGTCGCTGGGAGTTGAGCTTAAAAATGGCCTGGGTCTGTGCTGCACTCTGTTCGCGGATTGTGTGCGCTTCATCCAGAACAATGCGGAACATGTTCATCTTGGTCAAAGGGCTTACGCCACGCTTTGCGCCTCGTCCAGACAGCTCGCTGAGGACGATGCTGTACGTGGTGATCACTAGGTCATACCTGGACAATTCTTCCACGTCATTCGTCCGTGCCGGTCCATGGAAAACATAGAACGAAAGCGCATTTTCCCGCAGATGCTCCTTGATCTGGTTGGTCCAGTTGTTGACCGCGCTGAGGGGCGCCACCAGAAGCGTCGTCTTGGTATTGCGGATGCCCGGCGAGCTGCGGACTAGCTCGGGATCTGGGATTGAATCCGCCCACTGGCTGGCCTCCTCCAAAGAAGAAAGAACCAAGGAGAGAATACTCAAGGTCTTACCCAGCCCCATCATATCCGCCAGCAGTCCTCCCAGACTCTGTGGAGGCTCTTCATCTAGCACCATCCCGCTGATGATCTCTCGGTACCGCCTCTTTCCATTAGAGCGATAAACCATCCGCCAGAGAGAGTTATTGTCCGCCTCCTTGGGCCCAAACTTGCGCGGCTTCTCCTTCTCTGTCATGAACCAAAGTGCCTGCTTCTGATGTCGAAGCAATGGTGTGATCAAAGAAGACGGAGGGTCCATCTCGGGCAGATTTTCGGCGCTCTGCAGCTGATCGAACATTTTCATCACCGCGTCGTTTACTTCTTCGGCTGTACGCACTTCATAGTTGACTCCCACCCGGCCCCTCGCAGCTGCCGCAGGCAGCATCGCCGCTTGAGCCCGTCGCCTCTCTGCATGGGGGTTGTGCACAGGAACGCCTTGTTCCACAGAAAATGGCGTCCCCAGCCAGACATTATGCTGACCCAGATGCTTCCCCACAAGCTCCGCATCCTTTCTCAGGCCATACAAATTGACAGAGGCTCGGTATGCATATGAGCAAGGCGCCCAGGGCCACTCGTCGTCCTTTCTCCTCCGGACGTCCAACCGGGCGGTAATATTCACCTTCAGAGCCGGCGAGTCTAGAAGCGGAACGATCACCGACGCCGTCTTCGCGTCGACCATTCCAAATATCTTACCGTTAGGATCGGACACCTCGATCCGGTTGTTCTGGCCCGGCTGCCGATGCACGCCTAGCTTCATGGAAGGCCAGTCATGCGTGGAGTCGCCAAAGATAGTCTGTGATGAAGGCTTAGGAACCAACTGCGCCTGGATCGTGGCATTCTCAATTTTCCCGTAACAGACCCGCTGAAGACTGAGGTCATTCGAGCCGGTGACCTGCACATCGTCATCATCAGTCGCTGGTCCTGACACATCTGATAGAGAGTCAGCATATCATTGCAACCCACATATCCATCATCCTACCAGTAGTCAAGTCAACAATATCAGGCAGCACGGCCGGGGAATTCGAATTGGAACGGCCATCCTTCATCCAATCACCCAAGCCCGTATTTCCCACGCCTGTGAACTTGCGGTTTACAGACCTTGGCCCATCCTCTTCTACTTTGACCCTCTTATATAGCTGGCTAGAACGCCCCTCCACCCCGTACATATTTTCAATTAAGCTCCCATGGCGTGTCTCGTCCATCTGTTCCGAAGGCCGTTTGCCGTCCGTCCGGTCCTCGAACTGAGCACTAGCAAACTCCACATCAAGCGCAGGTTCCACACTCGTTTCCTGCTGCTGCGGCGACGAACTCCCCGTATCGCGAGTACTCGGCGACCTCGTAGATAGTGACTGCGATCTGGACTTTGACCTGGGACTCGCCCGCTGCGACGGCAGACGGCGCCGGGGACTCAAAAGCCGCTGGGCAGCGGAGGCGGTTCCCGCGGGCGGCGCAACGACAGTGCGCTGAGGCGAGGACGACGGATCCTGTTGGGCGCTTGTTCCTACTGGGAAAATATGTGAGTTTTCGTTGGGGTCTGAGTCGATGGGGTCATCTGGAGGGGAGGGGCAACGCAGTGAAGCAGGCAAGGAATATGGACGGTGTTGGTGATGGTCCTCTTGGTAAGGATCACCGGGTCCATCGCTCCAGCGATCCGATGGGGTTCGAGTGGGAACCGGGGAGTTACCATTGTTTTTCTGCTGCTGTTGTTGAAGCTGCTTCTTGTAGGCCCGCGGGTCCAGGAGCATGGCGGCGTGGGAAGCCATGATTCGGTACTCGATGCAGGTGCCCGAGACACGCGTGCGACGTAGAGTGTTAGGCCCAGTGACTGATCACGGATCGGATGAGACGGTGGCGGGGAAGATGGGAGGGACATCTAGATCGGTTCGAAAGAAGGCCTGGATTGCCTGCTGCGGGTGGAGAGAAAGGCTGGGCTGAGCATCCAACAGAGAGGGAGTTACTCGGAGGGCGGCAATCCGGTTAGTTGGTGGTGGTAGCCTTGGTGGTGGTGGCGGCGTAGGGATGAGCGTCAAGAGAGAGAGAGAGAGTGTGTGTGAGGGGGAGCTCAGATCTCTTCCATCTTACGGTCAGGATGAGATGATCGGCCGGACAGGAGGAAGTGCCGAAAGAAGCAAGCCAGTGATGATGGCAGAGTGAGGGATGACAGAGAGAAGAAAGAGATAGTCGATAATTACTGGAGGTACTGTAGGAAGTATCTAGTAGTTGCTTGACCGTGACGAGGAACCACCGATACGTGATAAGATTGCGGGTCTTCCTCGGTCGGCGCAGTTTCAGTGCCCACTTTTCACCTGCTGATATCCGACTGATATCGATATCTGGGATATACGAGGTTTGACTTCTACCGCTCAAGGCACTCTCACTTCATCGCTGACTTTGTATTAGATTCTAAATGCACTTCAAAAAAAAAAAACTATATACTGGTGTATTATGTATAAGGTAGACAAGGAGGCAACCGCCCAAAAATCCCTCGCGAAGATCAACTTCCATTTCTATGACTAAAACCATCAAGATTTTTTCCAACAAGGACCAGACCCTGCAAAAGAACTCCTCATGCCAGGTTATCATGATACACGCTAAATAAAAGAAGAGAAGAAGATGTGAAGTAAAGAAGGAGAATGAGAAGAAGAATGGAAAGATGAGGGGACCTGCGCCGACACAGCAGATCCTGACTGATCAGCAAGCAACAACCGGATTAACACCAGGTAAAGACCGGGTTCTTGCTCTTGACTGCCTCAAGTCGCTCGACAATCACCTTGCGCTGGTTGCCTTCCATGCCCTCGGCGGCGGCATATCCCAGGTCGCCTTCCAGGTCGTCGCTGCTCCAGATCAGATGCGCCTGCCCGCGCGTACTGGATACCGAACTGTGCTTCTGGTGCCGGTTGCCCGGACGGGGAGGGAGTGTCGCCCAGCTTCGGTCCAAACCCCGCCCCTGGCTCAGCTCGTCGATACTGTCGCGCCCAAACCGATAGTCGCCCATCGTAGCAGGGCTGCCGGATTGGGCCCGGACATGTCCCGAGCTGGACCCGCGCCCGCGGGAGAGCTCGAATCGGTTCGGGTTGGGCAACTCATTCGGAGGAGAACTCAAGCCCAGCAGGTCGACATCAGGGCCAGTACCAAAGGACATGGCGGCGCCAATGTCCATCTCCTCGTTGTCGGGATCGTAACTGGCGTGCTTATCGTAATGTTCGTAGCTCTTCACCTTTCGTTTCTGCGCATCAGTGGACGGCCCGCGGAGGGGGATCGCGACCGGAACATCCACCAGATCATCCCAGACGCACACACGCGTCCGTCGCGTCAACTCAAGCGGGCCATGGTCGGGGTGCTTCAGCGTTTCCACTACGTTCCAGGCCTGTCCCTTCATAACCGCAATCTGACGAGCAAACATGCTCTCCTTGAAATCGGAATCCTGCGAAAATACCCGCCGGAGGGCCATTTGAGTCCCGCTCCACCAGGCCGTCGAGGTAAGAAGGGGGAGAAAATGGTCGCGAGTTTTCTGCGAGAACGGCTGACCGATCAAAGAAACCGGAAGGAACAGCCAGCCGAACGGGAAGCTTCGCCACTATGACAGGTTAGCAAGGGTTCTGGGAGACATCGCATTGGAATAAGGCATTGGACTTACGGCATCGGGATGCTTCCACGGCCAGGACAAACTGTTGTCGATCGCTCCGATCTGAACGGTTACCTGGGGATCGGTTGCGTTCAATGGGGTTCCAGTACGGCTGACGGCTACCATCGCTTCACGTCGCCGATACGGATGCTGGGCTGAAGCCGTTCCGTCGGAGTTGACAGAAACGGGACGAGCAGGCGGCATGTCTTCATCGTCCTCCTGTGTTTGCACTCCATTGGGCTTTGGCGGGTCAGCAACAATGGACACCTCTTCCGTCTTCCAATCGATCTTGATCATCCAGTTATCCAATCCACGATCCGTGTTCCGCATGATATAGTCGAGGATCACAAGCTTCTCCAGTTCTTCCCGGAACGACTGCTTCAAGCCTTCCGTCCAGTAGAACCGCCGTTCCCGGCTCTCCTCGCGCGGGGATGGCGTGCGCGCTTGGCCGTCCTCGTATTCTTCTTCGTCTTCATCGTCAGAATGGACACCCGAGGGGCGGCAAGCTTCACTCCATGGCCGCTTCTTGCGTTTCGGAGCATCCTCGGCTCGGAAACCAGTGTTAGTCTGATCTGGCCATGGGTGGTCTCGCAGAAAGAGATTCGCATCCTTGTAGCCCTTCAAAAAGACCTGGAAACTGCCTGCTTTGGGAGGAAGCGGCCTCTTGCCCATCCAAGCTTTCCTGCGGTCCCAGAAATCGTAGAAGAAGGATTTCGAAGATAGCCAAACAATATCGGTGTAGGGGACAAGGTTCGTGTGAAGACGCGAGTCGAGAACATACGCCGCGGCTTCCGAGACATACGACAGGTTGGGAATCAGGCATGCCCGACCAAAGAAGCAGGGGAACAAGTTTCGGTGGATCCATTTGGTCCACTTGGGGTTGCGGGATGCATATGGTTCCTCATCCTTGGGCTTGAACACTCCCACGACTTTACCCTCGGCATTGCGCGCAAAGTAACTACCTGAGCTTCCCTGAGAGATCATCCTCGGATGGACACCCATCTCAATGGCTATCCGGACACTCTCCACGATTTCCTCGAATTCGTCACGGGCTCTGCGCGCAGCCCCCTCAATCTCATCCGACTCAAGGGCTTCCGCAGAGATGGGTCGAACTCCATCGGGAGCCTGAAAGACGGAGTGATAAATCTCCAGCTTCTCTTCCTCGAAGGTCTTGCCCTTGACGCGGTTGATCTTGAACTTGGAGGCGATCTCCTCCGCCCACCGTTCCAGACGAGCATTGATGGCCTTGATGTCGACACCGGAATTCCTTCGTCCTCGGCGATAGTGGCCACTCAGTCGTCGTCGATGTTCGGGAGGCGTGGACAGGCCGGCGGCCTGCATCTGGGCACGGGAAGAGATGGGAGCATATCGGGGGGCGGATTGGGAAATCGTGCTGGGGGCGTGTAGGTCGTCATCGTCTGAATAATCGTACAAGTCATTGGCTCTATCTTCCTCCTCTTGAGCCAAGCGGGCGTAACCCGAGGTCGCTGGCCGATTACTTTTAGGCATGGTGAATGGAAGTGGGATAGTCTATGAGATAATGGGAGAAGTCGGGAGGCAACCACTTTGGGATCATATGAAGGCGACGGGCAAGGGAAAGAATTAAGGGAGGATGGATAATGAACGGCGAGAAGGGAAGGATGATTGAATGACAAACTCAAGCCATTACTGGATCAGAGACGAGTAAAGACGAAGTACAAGCGATAGTCCCCGACCACGGAGAGGTAGGGAAAGCGAAAGAGGGAGGAAGAGAGGGAGAGAGAGAGAGCAGATTCCAAGAATCCGGAGCCAGAGAGAGAGTTCGAGGCAGCGCCGCTGTCATCTTGAAGAAGTGGCTGCTCGCCGCAATTACCACTCGTACCGTCACCGTACCGCCAATTACTGCGGCTTAGTCAAGCACATGGCAGTCAGGGTCCAGAACAGCCACACCCCGGATACCATACCATACCGCACCGCCACCGCTGGTCGTATCGTGCCGCTGGGATCCACTCGAGCTTCACGGAAGCCCCTGAATTAATGTTGGCTCTCGACGCGATGCTTTTCCCCGGAGAAGGTAAAGACGTTTTCTGGGGAAGGGGAAAGATACTACGAATGTTGCTACTCAGTTGGAGCTCTCAATGCTCCTCTGATCAAGAGCATCAGTGGGTTGAGCGTGAAAACACACAAACTACTTCACTCCGCAGTCTCTGTTTCTACAAATAGTAACAGCCATGCTCTGCACAATTATGCCAAATAATTCAGGGTCTCGTCAGTGATACTTGTCGTCCAGTTCATCAACAACAGCTGCTGCCATTGACCCCGTGCAGACACTGGCAGCCGTTTTCTAGCACTTCCACACCACGCGATATGCGCGCCATGGCTTTGTCGCTCCAACGAGATTGTGCTACGATCTAAGACATGGACCGATAGAGTGAAACGGGGTGCAGTAGCATGATGTATGAAGAGTTGCCATAATGGAGAACATCAACAGTCGAATGGTTGCGCACCAATCAGCAAACCATGACTGATTCCGATCACAGCAAGCATGAGTGCTGGTCAGCCACTCTGCCGGTTATAGTCTCCTATTGACGCTCAGCTCCACCCCAACCTCCATCACGGAAAAAGAAGAATTATCACGAGCAAACATGGTCTTTGGCCGTTGAAGGACAGACTTGAAAGGAAGAACAAGAACACAGGGGCGGCCACAGTAAATACTAGGCTGGTGGGAAAGGGGCATGCAGGGGCGCGACAACAACATTGCGAAGATTCATTCCGGGCCCGTCCCGCGCATACTATTAGATAGGCGCATAAACCTTGGAGAGCAGAAGCATAGCATAGCAACAGCCCGAGACTGGGGAGGGAGGTGATAAGGAGGAATTCCCACGGGTGACGGATCCCTATCCAAGATTTAATCTCAGTATCCAAGACTCGGCTGGGCCCAGCCAAGCGGCGGTTCCGCAGAGCCAATTCGATAAATAATCGATAGCCTCCGACGCGCGATAGCAGCCCCGATAATCAACCCTCGATCTTCCTTCTCCCTCCCGACCATCCTGTTCCCCTCCAGATTTGCCTCAAATCCCCTTCCCCAGACCCATCATCTACTTTCGCATGTTTCCTTTCCGGTCAATCCGCTTGGATCTTTTTATTTTTCACCTTCTTGTCGCTCCTTCAGCAATCGCTCCTTGGGTCAAATTGCAGCAACTTGTCCCCGAGACAGCCTTGTGTTGAGATCTTTTACTCCTGGAGTATAATCTCTGACGTCCCTTGGGCCGGACAAAAGCAATTATCAAAAACAAAAGAAAAAGTACTTTGGGCTTGGAAAAAGTCTAATGATCGTTTGATTACAACTGGGCAACCCAAAAAAAGTTGAACGACATTCCATATCATTCCTCCCTTTCAGACGTGGCTGGTCCTCTCCAACGGCACGAATCTTTCCTCCTAAACCGTCGTATACCATTCCCGGAACGACGGAATCCCTCCTCTCGAATCGTCTACAGTTCGGTCATTTGTGGCCGGATTTCTAGCTAGTTCCCTCCGACAACCTCCACGGTGGCTTCACTCCTCTTCCGGGCGTCGCCCATCGACCCAGCCCTTCGTCCGCCGTCGCCGTCGAATTCCCAGTCTCAAGACTCGAACTACAAACATACCTCCTCCTCGACTGACAGTCAATCGGGATCGCGCCAATCGACCACGGATACTGGTGCGGGAGCATCGTCAGCGTCATCGCAGTATTCTGGAACGCTTCCCGAGGCGAGTTCTCTAGATAAATACACCCATAGCCCGGGCAGTAGCAGCAACGGTAGTGCCTTCCCCAGCTCTCTGGGCCCATCTCTGCCTGGACTCTCTGCTTTGGCCTCGGTCGCATCTGCGCCCACTTCCAATCTGCGGTATGTGTATCTAGCAAGAACCTTTCCCCTATGCGATGTTCCATAGACGAGACCAGGTGATGGAATGAGAGGGGAGTCGCAGGGAAGATCATGTGTGATTCCCCTGCCATGTCTGGAAGGGAGATAAGATGATTTTGAATACTCGCACGCCCAAGGCGCCCGTATCTCTGGTTATGCTGACGAGTCTTACGTGTGCAGAGCCTCGAGTAGCAATGCGCAGCCCAGTATGGCCAATATGACATACGCGACATCTTCTCCGGCTGCCACTACTGGTGGGCAAGGCAATAATCCTGTAAGTTTCTAAGACGATCTTATCATTGGAAGGCGATGGTTCTTATCGAGCTACGCTGGTTTTGTTGCTTTTTTTCTCTTCTTGCCTGGAGTGAAATTTCTGGGGTTCATGGTGACCCTTAATTTCCTGGGTTTCTTTTTCTGTGCCAATCTGCTGTTATCAGCAGCCGCTGGGGGCTTGGCGCCGCACCACCTGCTCCTTATCGCGCCAGCCCATCAAATCTCTCCCGATCTTATCAACCCAGCGCTCTTCCTCCTCCATCCACTATCAGTCCGCTTCCCCATCTTCTGTCTCTTCCTCCCCTTTCCCTCGCGTGATCCTATTGTTCCAAAAACCATGGCGACCACGTTGGCTGATCACAAACGTCCTCAATTACAGCCCGTGTGCCAGAATTGCGGCACTTCTACGACACCTCTCTGGCGCAGGGACGAACTCGGCTCCGTCCTTTGCAACGCCTGTGGCTTGTTCCTCAAACTACATGGCAGGCCCCGTCCGATAAGCTTAAAGACCGATGTCATCAAAAGTCGCAACCGGGTCAAGACTGCTGGTCAGGGCCCCAAGCGTAAGGTGAGTCTGTCGTCTAGAAAATTTTTCCCTGGCTGTCCTATGTCTTTGTACACCTGAGATAACGATCGCTAACATTCCTATCAATGTCTTATCAGTCCGGCGGTGCTATCGATACGAATGGCTTGTCTACCTCGAGGTCCGAAGCAGGGACGCCGCCCATGGGGTCCCAAGGATACCGTCGCGCGTCGCGAAAGGCATCACCGGGCCATTCCGACCGATCCAACTCACCCGTCTCCCGTACCGAAACGCCTGGTATCCCTTCCATGCAACAACCACACCCTCAGTCGCAACACAATGCCAACATTGCGCCTCAGCACATGTTCGATAGCGTCACAATCGGCGACCATGGGCTCAATCAGCCGAATGCGCTGCCCTCGGTGCAGCCACGCCAGCCGTCGCCCACGGCGACCTCGGCGGCTGTCGACCGCCATCTCGAGTCACCACAGACATACGATGGACTGCTCGCAGCCAATACCTCGTTGAAGACTCGCGTGAGCGAATTGGAGTTTATCAATGAACTGTTCCGGGGCCGGGTGACGGAACTGGAGCAGAGCGGCGCGACTGCGCGCCGATCGGAGATGATCGTCCGGGACTCGGAGGTACGGCTCCGGCGGTCTCTGGAGGAGGCCCAACGGCGCGAAGACGATCTGAAACGGAGGATATCTGAGCTGGAGCGACAGCTTACCGACCAAACCTCCTCTGCCAACCCGGCGGGCAATGACAGTCCCGGTGAGCCGCTGGCCAAGCGGATGCGGCTGTCCGACGTCGTGGAGCAACCTGCGGAGTCGCCAACAAAATCCCCCAAGAGTGTCTAACTCTCACGGGCGGGGGGGCTTTGTTCGGACGATGGACGCGCATGAGTGCGTCGGGCAGCACCGACGTAAACAAATGCGCACATAGTTTGCGGTGCTGCGTTCTCTGATCTTCCCCGGTCTCTTTGATACCCTTTACGAGTCTTGTCATTGGCTGGCTGTATATCGGATTAACTACCTAATTATATCACACCTTCCTTCGAGCCATTCTTCCCCATTCTCTTCTTCTACTCATCCTATTTGTTCCGATATGAGTCGGGGAGAGATTATTCTGCGCCTGCACCTGCTCCCCTCATCCCAGCCCGACCGCACGAAAAAGAATCCCCCTCAAAAAGAAAAGAAAAGGACCTGTAAAGGGTTTTTACATGTGTTCCAAGTAATTCGTGTTATTATTAACTCCCTGAATCTAACTACTGTCTTCTTCCCGCCTTCTGTTTGTAAGCGTTCGTCGTACATTATCCGATGCAACGTACCGAGTGACCCAGTACTATACTTCCGAGAGCGGAAACACTTCACATACCATTGTAACCCACTCCTAATCTTAGGATCAACGACCCTATATCATCCCACTCTAAGGATAACACCCCCCCAACCTGGGCATCCCATCTCATCTCACCATGATCTAGATAGGTATTACTCCACCCCGGGTCGATCCGATTCCTTCCTTATCAGCGCGATGTGGGCAGTGGTCACGAGTCCGGAGTACCCGGAATCGACCCGACCTCCTCACTTACTACGTACTCTCAATCTGCCCTTATCAATGCCCGTCACGCAAATCCTCCCTTGATTATTGGCCCAACCTGATTCGTTGGTCCGTCGGGGATACGACGTTGATCGACATACACACAGTGTCTATTCAAATTGCTTGTTTAGATTGTTGGTAGATTTATCCTATCTCTGATCTATCTACTCGCTATAAATGGTAATTTTGGCCCTGGGGGGCGCTGCTAACTGTCCGGATTCCCGACGGTCGGCGCGCCGGGAGTGATGATCTATGCTATCCAGTACTTAGTCTCTGCTTTGGCAACTTCCCCGCTTTTGCGTGATCTTTACTTAGATAGTTGTTATCTGTGAACTTGGCTGTAAGGGTGGAGTTATGAATCGTAGGAAGAGAGTGGGGAGCGGCGAGGCGGAGAATCAATAAGCTGTAATTGCCTTACTGCCTTACTTCCTTGCTGCTGCTGGTTGGTCTTTTGCTAACAACATACTATCTACTACTTACTACTTACTTCAACGGCTGTGAATTTGTTGCAGCAGAGAGGGGTTGTTCAAGGCTTACTGAGATGGTTGTCGCCTGCTTTTGACCTCCATCTAGGAGCTATTCTATCGTCATATTCATCTGTTTAAGCAATGTATCGAGAAGATGGTCTCAGGGCCACCTCGGGTGTGGGTGCCTTCTTAGTATGAATACTAACTAATAAGGAACTTCAGCTGCTGTTGATGTGCTTCTGTCACGTCACCCCTTCTGGCGGCCGTGGTGTTTCTCCCAGCACTTATGCCGAGCGTAGATCTCATCCTTACCACGGATAGAAATGGCTCTCGTCCACCACAAGGCCTTGGACTGACTGCTAGTTAGTATCAACTTTTGGTCTGGACGGAAACTGGTGCAGCCCCCGGAAGGCTCGACCTCAGCTTGAGCTTTGCCGCCAATTCCAGAAATAGTACGTACATATGTGAGAGAACCAAGGGGTGCTCCAGAGTAGATGCCTCTGCCGTTCCTCCCAGCACCATCATGAGACCCCTCTTTCATAGCTCATCGCTTTGCGTATTTGCCCGTCCAAGGTTGATCTCGCGACACCTGAGCTACTCGCAGCAGCTTCAAGCTTCTGTACTCACCGTTCCAACGCCGCGGAATGGCCTCCACTCCAATGGTGCAACCGCGCGAATTTCCAACGTCAGGGTTCGAACTTCTCAATTCCATCGAACCCTTCGAAGAGGAATCCTTGCCAACTATCTGAAGGAACGCTATTACCCCATTAGCCTTGGTGAAGTCCTCAATTCGCGGTATCAAGTCATCACCAAACTTGGCTTCGGCGCATCGTCAACGGTCTGGTTATGTCGCGACTTACAGTCAGTTCACTCGGAAAGGGAATCTCATCGATGATATAAGCCTGGGCTGACCATATTAAAGCCAGGATCGCCATCTGATCCTGAAAGTCCATGTCCGAAGCAGACGGCAGCTTCCAGAGGTCCAGATATCCAGACATCTCAAAGCCCTCCATGAGAATCACGTGGGCGAGAAGTATATCCGGCTGGTCCTGGACTCATTTGAAATTGAGGGCCCTCATGGTGTACATCCTTGTATCCTCTATCCACCTGCTGGGGTTGATATCCTTGACTACATGCAATGCCTTGAGGGGGGTTCATTACCCGAGAATCTCCTTCGAGTGACCATCCGATTCATGCTCATTGCTCTGGATTATCTCCATGGGGCCAACGTCATTCATACTGGTGGGTACTCTAAAACAGCCTGACTTCCGTGTGATCACTGATCATTGTTAACCTCAGTTCAGATATCCAACCAGGCAATATCCTCCTGGGGATTGAGGATGATTCAATTCTCGCCGAGATGGAAGAAGAAGAGCTCAATGAACCCGCTCCTCGGAAGCAACTTGACGACCGTACGATTTTTGCCACTCGTGCAATGCCCTTGAGTAGCGGAGAACCCGTCCTCGCTGATTTAGGAGAGGCGCGACTGGCCCAAGGAAACCAAACCGGGCTTATCATGCCAAATCTATACAGAGCTCCCGAAGTGTTGCTGGGTATGAAGTGGGATAACAAGGTAGATATATGGGCGATAGGACAAACGGTAAGAACAAACTTAAGCGGTTATATGACATACCCTAAACCCTCTTTAGGCATGGACCTTGCTTGAGTCTAGGCACCTTTTCACAAAGCCAGACTTAGAGTCGGATGCCGACAATGCTCGTCGCTTCGCAGAAATGATATCTCTACTGGGACCTCCTCCGGTTGAGTTTCTTCGTCGAAGCGAAGAAAGCCTCAAGTTCTGGGATGAGAACGGTATGCGTTATTCATATGATACGATCTATATGGTCTCCCTCCTAACATCTTGCAGGTAACTGGAAGTGCCTCGCAGATATCCCAGAGCAATCTATCACGAGTCGCGAGACTCAGCTCGATGGTGATAACAAGAAGCTCTTCCTTCAATTCCTGCGGAAGGCTTTGTGTTGGCTGCCCGAAGAGAGGCCTTCTGCAAGGGAGCTCATCATGGATGAGTGGCTGAGAGGAGACGACTACTGAAATTGTGTCTACAAGGGTGGTGTGGTTTACCTATCCATTCACAACAGTCTCAATCGAGTGCCCGTTTATTCTAGAATATGTGCATAGGTTCACCCACTCATTTACTATAGCAGCTTTAATCGCCGAGGGGTCAGTTGGAGAATAACCTTGCCCCCCTCACTCTTCTCAGGATGAATCTTAAGTTACAATTGATGGTTAGAAGAAATCGCTAGACGCTAGTTGCTCGAAAGATACAATGACTGTTCATCAAGTACTTTGGCTGGCACAATTCTAGAAGATTATGCACACTCAATAATTTACATGGTCTACTAGTACCTTTGTTAGGGATAGTCGAAGAAGCTGGGAAACCAGTACTTAAGTAGCAGGTATGGCTTACTACTATATGAATTTACTACTAGTTGGGAGTTTGGATAGGGGGGATACCAGCAACACTACTAAACTGGTCGTTATTTCTCATACGTTAGATGACTATGGACACTTCCCAGTCAAAACCAATGCATGTCTATTTGAAACGCGAACCCTCTATATTGAAAATACCAACCAAATTGCCTCTTCAATGGCACATATTCCCTGGGTATATATACGAGGAAGGCAAAATAAAAGTCACCGCTTTCAGCCTCTTACACTATAGAGGCTTCGAAATAACTGGCATCCTAAGCAAGTCGGTCATGCTCGACCTTCTTGTGCATCGCGCCGTGGATGCGTCTCTCGTGAAGGATGCTCCACAGACAGACGACCACACCGGCTACGCCGGACAAGAACGTCGTGTAGTACGCAGCCTGGTAGCAAGCCAGACCATCCGGACAGTCGCGGTCTCCGTTGGGTTCGACAATCGAGTGGCGGTCGTAGATGCTGCCGTAGAGCAGGTTGAAGACGTTGCCGCTCAGCACGGGCGCAAGCGTCATCACACCCCAGTTCTGCGAGAGGCCGCCGATGCCGAAGGTGTGGGCGACCAGCGATGGGAAGACGCCAAAAAGGAAGCCGTAGGCGATACCGGTGAATCCGGATACAATGGCTAGTTGATGAGGGTTGGAGATGGCGGAGCCTGCAAGCTGGGTGATGGTGAAGACAAAGGCGGAGATGAACAGACACCAGAATCGCGACATGTTCAGCTTCTTCACCAAAAGGTCGGAGCCAATACCTATAGGAGATTAGTAGCCAATTGTGAACAGTGAATGTGCCGACATACCGCTAGAAAGCCGACCAATGAAGTTGCCAAAAGACAGAATCGAGACATGCATAACCTGGCGCTGTTGAATAAACTTCGGGCTTGCACTGTCGTCGTAGTACTGCCAAAGTGCCTTGGCCTGCGAAACAATTAGATCAGCTGATATGGAAGGGGTCATACGGAGTCGCCTTACGCTGTTGCCAATATTACTATTAAATTGTTAGCATCGAACAAAAGCAAAATTAAAGGTAAGGGTACTGACTTAATGGTCATCAAACCAATTCCAGAAAGAAGGGCCATCGTCAAAAAGAGTTGCCAGAACTCAATCTTCGGAAGCATCGCCAAGCCGCGAACATCCGGGTGCGGGGATTCAAGAGCAACATCGGAGAGAGCATCGTCATCCTCCTCGTGTTGGGTGAGGTATTCTCGGGAAGAGCGTGAAGGAACTTTGGACACCAAGGAGGATGTTTCGTCAATATCGGGGCTGTGGCCGGGGTGATGGGGACTCGACACGACCGAGTGCGACCTGTCACGCGCTGCGGGACAGGATTCATAGGTTATAGAGGTCTGCGTACCTGCTTCATCAGATTCTTCCAGACTATGCCGGAATTCTGTAGATCTAGTAGTGCGTAGTCGTTGAGATTCTACGCCAGGGGACCTGCCCCGTCCGAGTGGCATATATGGCTCACTAGGAGGCATGATACGAAGAAACGGGATCGAAACGAGGTTTAGGGCACAGGTGCCCAGAGCCAGCAAAAGGAGGAAGCGGCCTGTATCGTCCTTGAAGAGAATCGAGGAGACGGTCGACCAGAAGAACGCACTCAGCCCAAAAGCGGCCAAGGGGAAAGCAGTCGCTGTTCCACGATGATCGGGGAAGTTGGAAGCCGCTAAACGATGTTATTAGCCATGACAGATAATGTATTCATTAGAGAGGCTTGGCGCACATGTCTTGATTGACGCTGAGAACGCCGAGCAACTTCCGAAGCCTGTCAAGAAAGCAAAAAACGACAGGAAGATAATGGCCATCGACCCTGGGCCCTTGACGTAGGCTGAACATGCAGATATTAGCTAGCTGCAACCTCTCAGGGTTCAATATAGGACATACCCAGATAGATGGGATAGTAGCCGATTCCCAGCGTGATTGCACCCAAGAAAGTCGTCAGACGCGGACCTCGAGCATCTGTCAACAGACCCAATGGGATTCCCGATGCATACATGCCCAAATTCCCAGCCGCGCCCTGGAAGTATTATTAACAACTTGTTGAATCATGGGAGAAGGGCGCAATGGGCGGCTTACAATGAAGTTGCTTTCGGTAGAGGAAATCTTCATTTGTTGCGCAAATTGGGGCGCCCATGCCGAGTATGCATACTGTCACACAGATCAGACTCTTGCCAAACATCCAACCTCATATTGGACCTAGAGAACGGAAGAAGCGCACATTGGTACCACACGCGAGAGCAACCAGGGTGGCCGCTACGACGGAAACGATCCGCTTCGATTTATGGGGCGAGGCGGCCATGGCGATGCGGGATCGGGAGGGCGAAGACACCGGGGGAAGGCCAGTTGGAAACTCTTCGCATCGAAATATGCGGGGGAGGGTCGCAGTGGCCGGACGACTAGTATTTGTAGTTCGTTGGCCGGGATGGTGGTGCAGTGGATAATCGTTATCACGTCACGATAACCGGAGGAGGTGCGAAGTAAGGACAGCCGGCTAGACCTCGACCATAGATAACCGCACCACGGATATGTAGTGTGTAGTAGTAGGAGTAGTAAAGAGAGGAGGACAACAACAACAACACAAGAAAAAGAAGGGCAGAAAAGAGTGCAGGAAGAAGAAAAGGAGAGTCGACAGCAGAAACGAAACAGAAAAAAGAAAAGAGCGACGTGAGTAGTGTTTGGATGTCCTCCAGCAGTGAATTTTAGTCTCTCCACCTCCCACGCAATCAAAGAGCAAAGTGTCCCCAAAAGCGTCCCGTCGGACTCGTCAGCTCAACGCAGTCTAGTCTCTCTCCCCGGACGAGATCGGAGGCTTGTCTCCTCCTGTATGGTAACTGCATTACCACTCCGATGAGTGTGACAGCCAGTCGCTTATCGCCGATAAGGTCATCATTACCGGCACACTTGCCCCGGATACACAGGCACGTGACTTTTATGCATCCCCATCACGTGGAGTACATCCCCAGACATTGTGTGGAGGGAAAGCATAATACTGAAACTACATTTGGCAGGTACGACCTCTCTCTGAACAACTACTAGTCTGTAAAGCAATATAGTCATAGCCTTAAAATCACCTCATGGTGCTGTTAATGTAGCCGACTCTGCTGGACGCGCGTAAGAATCAACCATCCGCTAGATTCCCGGCACATGACGAAGGCGGCGAACCTCCGCGGCTTCTCCTCCTGCCATTCCGTCTTCATCTTCCAGTATCTCCAGGCTGGTTATTATCATCCCGTCTCCTGCATCAGGATCAAATATAGTCTTTAGTGAGAGGGAGTGACACTCTTCTTCATCCATCATGGGTGCCCTCTTATCTCTGCCTCTGCTGGCTCTTCCCAGCGCCAGCACGGTACGTGCGCCTCCATCACCGCCATCTAATCCCCCCACTGACATCAAGGTAGCTCATCACCCTCGCGACATCGTGCTGCGGCGCAGCGACCTGCTCGGCAGTATGTAGTGCATGCGGGAAGTTTCAGAACAGGTCAGCGACATCCAAACACAGAACAAGCCTCGCGCCCCATAATGATGGACCTGGCTGACATTAGGCACCAACTAACAGTATGGCTACGAGAATCGCCTATGCCTTCATCCTCTTGTTCAATTCGATCATCTCCTGGATAATGCTCACGCCATGGGCGCTCAAAAAGTTACAACACATGACGTTAGATTATATGGAAATCAGATGCGATGGGAAAGAATGCTATGGTTGGGTGGCCGTTCATCGAATCAATTTTGGTCTTGGGCTCTTCCATTTGATCCTCGCCTTCATGCTGCTTGGAGTCAGGTCCTCCAAAGATGGCCGTGCGGTCCTTCAGAATGGGTTCTGGGGTCCCAAGATCATCTTGTGGCTTGCGCTCGTTGTGGCATCATTCTTCATCCCCGAGTCGTTTTTCTTCGTCTACGGTCACTATATCGCCTTTATCTGCGCCATGCTGTTCCTCCTGCTGGGTCTAATTCTCCTGGTAGATCTGGCGCATTCATGGGCGGAATTGTGCCTGCAGAAGATTGAAGATAGTGATTCACGCACGTGGCGTGGCCTTCTGATCGGCTCTACTGTGGGCATGTACGTTGCATCTCTCGTCATGACGGTCTTGATGTATGTCTTTTTTGCCCACAGCGGATGCGCCATGAACCAGGCTGCGATTACTGTAAGTTTGCTGCGTCCTCTACAGTCTGTCATCTGCCATCTTTGGCCCCGTGCTTACTTTTCGCAATAGATTAATCTTGTTGTCTTCCTTATTATTTCGATCATCTCGGTGCAGCCCATGGTGCAGGAATCCAACCCCAGAGCAGGATTGGCCCAGGCCGCCATGGTTACAGTTTATTGCACCTATCTCACCATGTCCGCGGTGTCCATGGAGCCAGATGACCGTCACTGTAACCCTCTGATTCGTGCGCGAGGCACCAGAACGGCTAGTATCGTTTTGGGCGCGATTGTCACCATGGCTACCATCGCGTATACGACCACCCGCGCGGCCACCCAGGGCATTGCGCTAGGCTCCCAAGGGGGGCACAACTACTCGCAGCTGGGATCGGATGACAACGAGCATGGTCTTGTGACCCAGCAGCCAACCACTCGCCGCGAGATGCGGGCCGAGGCTCTTCGGGCGGCTGTTGAGAGTGGCGCTTTGCCCGCCAGTGCGCTGGATGACAGCGACGACGAATCCGACGAGTATGACACCAAGGACGACGAAAAGGGATCGACGCAGTATAATTACTCTTTGTTCCATATCATCTTCTTCCTGGCGACCACCTGGGTCGCTACCTTGCTGACCCAGAACTTGGACCCGGAGGCCGTCGACGACTTTGCGCCCGTTGGCCGCACCTACTGGGCTAGCTGGGTGAAGATCATCAGTGCCTGGGTGTGCTATGGAATTTACCTGTGGACCCTGATCGCACCGGTGGTTCTGCCGGACCGCTTTGACACCTACTGATCGTGGGGGTGAATAGAAAGATCACGTATAACCGGGAGTTGGGCGTTGAACAGCGATATTTCTTTTTTTTCTCGTAGTTGTACAGTTTCCTGCCGTTCTGCGTCATAGTTGGTGCTGCGATGCCGCAACTGAAATGGTCTATTATTATTCTGCAACATACCATACTCAGCTGTTATTGTCTTTGAAGAACCTTCATGTATCATAGTACAGTCTGTCAAGTGCACAAGAATGATATTGATGTTATTGGAACTGGTTGTTGTATGTGCTTGTAGATGTAGAAACTCCTGCCGCCCGGAGATCCGCTTATCGCAGCCTCCGCGTAAAGTGGCCGGCGAGCGCGTGTCACCGCGTTTTCTGCCCCCTCAAGTTTCAATTTCACCATGGCATGAACATGGCGACCATCAAGGCCATCGAGGCCCGCTCAGTATGTCTACTTGATGTTTATTCTGAGATCTCTTCTAATACATACACTACAGATCCATCAAATCCAATCCGGTCAAGTCATTGTTGACTTGTGCTCCGTTGCAAAGGAACTGGTCGAAAACAGTCTCGATGCCGGAGCAACCTCGATAGGTACTACAACAGCCAAATTCTAGCACACGTTGCAAGCCATAGATTGACATCGCTGATTATGATCTAAATTATTCCAGAAATCCGCTTCAAAAACAATGGCTTAGACTTAATCGAAGTCCAAGACAACGGCAGCGGAATCTCCCCCGATAACTACGCCAACGTCGCATTAAAGCACTACACCTCCAAACTCTCCTCCTACGAAGACCTCACCACGCTTCACACCTTCGGTTTCCGTGGCGAAGCGCTATCTTCCCTATGCGCATTATCCGACTTCCGCATTACCACGGCGCAAGCAAACCAAGCTCCCAAAGCCACCCGACTTGATTTCGAACCCTCCGGGAAATTGAAAAAGACGCAGATCGTCGCGGGGCAGAAAGGCACGACGGCCTCGGTGGAGAGTATCTTCAAGGGATTGCCGGTGCGACGGCGGGAGCTGGAGAAGAATATCAAGCGCGAATATGGCAAGGTCTTGAACCTGTTACATGCGTATGCGTGCGTCAGCACAGGGGTGCGCTTCAGCGTCCGGAATTCGGTGGGCAAAACGAAGAATGTGGTCGTGTTTAGCACGAACGGAAATCAGACGACCAAGGAGAATATTGCCAATGTGTATGGGGCGAAGACACTTCTGGCGCTGATTCCGCTGGATTTGGCACTGGAGTTTGAGCCGTCTGCTGCGGCAGGGAGGAGAATCACTGGGTCTGGGGAGTTGAACAAGCTCACAGTTCGCGGACATGTCTCGAAACCGGTATTTGGGGAGGGGAGACAGACACCGGATCGGCAGATGTTCTTTGTGAATTCTCGGCCGTGCGGGTTGCCGCAGATTGCAAAGGCGTTTAATGAGGTGTATAAGTCGTTCAACGTGTCTCAGTCGCCGTTTGTGTTTGCAGATTTCCATATGGATACAAACGCTTATGACGTTAATGTGTCGCCGGATAAGCGGACCATTCTGTTGCATGATGCGGGAGCGCTGATTGATTCGCTGAAGGAGTCGCTTGTGCAATTGTTTGAGTCGTCGGATCAGACGGTGCCTCAGTCGTTGGTTGTGGGGTCGAAGCCTGCCCCTACCCTCAAACAACGCTTGGGAAGCTTGCAGACTCAGACTCAGAGTCCGAACCGGCCTGCAGTGGAGGATGCGGACTCCTCGGCGGCTGATGATCGGGAACCTGTGGGAAGCCAGGGGACCGGTGAAGTACAGTCGAGCTCACAGGATCGGATGAAGAGCTTCTTGAGCGGTCTTGGTGCCCGTGGCAGCAGCCCAGTTGTCTCCTCCCCTGCAGGCCGGGGTGCATCAAGCGTACGAGACCAGCCTATGCCTTCGTCACCTCAGGATCATCCTGAACCGATGGAAGAGGACAATGACCTCTTCGTAAGACAGGACTCTCCTGCCGAGCCACAGCCTCCCACACAAGGGGAAATCGCGGAAGAAGCTCCTCGACAGCGTGAAGATAATAACTCGTCACAGGACACAGCTCCTAAAGAACCCTCGGTGTCGATGCAGGTAGTCGACCCTTTGGAGGAGACACCAAATACTATCCAAAATGCGTTTGATCGCATGCGACCAAGGCGAATGCCTCCTGAGATGGCTACCATTACTATCGGCAACAGGACCGTTACATCTATGGTGGGAAGTGGGTTGCCCAGAAAGCGATCTGTAGGTGCCGGTGATGCCACTGGCCCTACGACACGTAGAAGACGGATACACACCCCTTCTCACCCTAGCATATTCGGCAAGCACATGAGAGATTTTGCTGCTCCAGGCTCGCAATTGGACCCGGAGAGTGAGGACGAGGAAATCCTGGATGAGGAAGCAGAAGATGCAATTGAGGAAAGCGAAGAGGAAGAAGAGCCTGAAGAGCAAGAAAGTGAAATCGAGGATGAAGAGGAAGATGATGAATCTCAATCTTATACGCCGTCAAACCATGAAGATGATCAACCTCCCGAAGATGTTAGCAGTGAACACCATCACCACGAAGCCAGCAATGGTAATGAACCTCAAAGTTCACAACAACTTGGCTCCTCGGAGCACAACATAAGCGAAGAAGAAAAAAAGCGCCACGAAGAAGCCGAAGTCCAACGGCTCATCCAGGAAGCGGAGGACAGAGCAGCATTGCCACAGGGCAACAATATCCATCGTGCGAACAAGATGAATAAGGGAGCTGCTCACCGCGACTCTACTGTGCAGCTAATGAGTACTATCGATGGCTCTCTTTCTAAGATACGCTCACAACTAGGGCAGCTACAGGAAAGCCTTCGTCGTTGGGAAGAGCACCACGGTCCCTCCCAGAGTGAAGATGAGACAGCAGCGCCACAAGAAACGGCAGAGGAAAGACTGTCTCTAACGGTTAGCAAAGACGACTTTGCCAACATGCGGATTGTCGGGCAGTTCAATCTAGGGTTCATCCTGGCTACGCGGTCATCCACCGATGACTCGGGGCCTGGATCATCAGCAAAAGACGAACTCTTCATCATTGACCAGCATGCATCTGATGAAAAGTTCAACTTCGAACGACTGCAGGCAGAAACCGTGGTGCAGAATCAGCGCCTCGTCCAACCGAAGCGCCTCGATCTCACCGCAGTAGAGGAGGAAATTGTCATTGAGAACCAAGCCGCGCTGGAAAAGAACGGCTTTATTGTAGAAGTGGACGAAAGCGGAGACGAGCCTATCGGGCGCCGCTGCAAGTTAGTCTCGCTGCCTTTGAGCAAAGAAGTGGTCTTTGGGGTTCGGGATCTGGAGGAGCTCATTGTCCTTTTGTCGGAGACACCTACCAACGCTGCACGGTCAGCGACAGGGATGTATATACCGCGTCCGAGCAAAGTGCGGAAGATGTTCGCCATGCGGGCCTGTCGGTCGAGCATCATGATTGGCAAGACTTTGACGGTCAAGCAGATGCAGAAGGTGGTGCAGAACATGGGCACCATAGATAAGCCGTGGAACTGTCCCCATGGCCGGCCGACTATGAGACACTTGATGAGTTTGGGGCAATGGAATGAATGGGATGAGCTGGATGACGAGGAAGACCAACCGGTAGATTCCTTGGATATATGGCGAGGGTTTTACCAGGAAATGGCTGCACATAGTGAGGAGGAGGCTGAGGAAGCGGAGGAGTAGATCTAAGCCTGGTTGCTCAGGTTCAGGTACTTTTGGATAACACGATAGACCAACGGAGTCATTGGAGATATTTACGAATTGGCCCACATCATCTCATCTCATCTACGATTGCCTTTATCACTCTTTGAGTAACGCTTCACCTTCCGACTAAAGTTTGGTCAAAGACAATTACTTTACTGATCATAACTGGATAATTAGCTACCAGCTCATATTAAATGCGATAAAATTGCAACACGCGACCCAGATCGCTGCTCCATCCGAGCGCCTGGATGCATAAATGAGGGACCCTCGGGATCGCCATCCGAAAGGATAGACGCACGATAACAGTCGGTCCCTACGCCGAAACTATCTCAGTGGCTGATGCATCATGGCCATCTCTTGGCCACTTATCAAGTAGCACGACACGTCACGATTGGATGCAGCTGCAGCTCTCCTTGCAGTTGCAATTGGGATTGCGGGGATGCTACAATCCCCGCTCGGGACTCCTCCCGACAGCTGCTCTACAAATACCCTGCCTGGAACTGATCTCGCCTATACCATCAGTACATACAAAAGCGATAGACCGTCATGCGGACACTCTCCTTTCCACTTCGCGTGCGCGCCTCAATTCTGCACACCAGCCGGAGGGCAGGTCAGCCGCTGCGAGCCCTGAGTCTATGGCATCCTCCCAAGTTCGAGAATGAGAAGCCAGTAAGTGTTAAGTTTAAACGCATCACAGCTCCTGTCATGCTTCGATGCTAAAATGACCACTAACAACTGCAGCTTGACTACGCAAAAGGCTCACCTGAGAGGGCCGAGTTGACGCAAGCCCTACAGAAATTGAAGAGCGAGATGCCCTTCAATATCCCACTCACCATCAATGGCTCCACAGTGAGTCACCTCACTTCTAAATAAGCCCACGCAGCTAACAATCCAGACACAAACCATCAAATCCCAAGTCCAACAGAACCCCTCACGCCACAACGAGGTCGTTGCCGAATATGCATCCGCAACGCCCGAGCAGGTCAACACCGCCGTGGACGCAGCCCTCAAGGCCAAACCAGCCTGGGAGGCCATGCCCTTCGAGGACCGCGCCGCCATCTTCCTGCGCGCCTCTGAGCTCATTGCAGGCAGATATCGCTCTGAAATCGTCGCTGCTACCATGTTAGGCCAGGGAAAGAACATTTGGCAAGCCGAGATCGATGCCGCCGCCGAGACAGTGGACTTCTTCCGCCACTACATCCAAGAGTGCTGGTCACTCTTCGCGCAGCAGCCCAAAGTCCACCTGCCCGGCACCTGGAACAAGCTCGAATACCGACCTTTGGAAGGATTTGTCTACGCCATCGCCCCATTCAACTTCACCGCACTAGGCGCGACCCTCATCGGCCCAGCCGCCCTCCTAGGCAACGTCGTTATCTGGAAACCGTCCGACTCTGCCCTCCACGCCAGCTGGCTCCTGCACCAGATTCTCCTCGAAGCCGGTCTCCCCAAGGACGTAATCCAGTTCCTCCCCGGCGACGCCGAACAAGTAACCAACACGATCCTCCACCGCCCCGAATTCGGCGCCCTCACCTTCATCGGCTCCACGCAAGTCTTCAAAGGCCTGCAGAAGAAGATCGGCAATGCCATCGGCGAGGGAATTTACAACTCCTACCCACGTGTGATCGGTGAAACTGGTGGCAAGAACTGGGGTCTCGTGCACCCCTCAGCGGACATCACCAACGCAGCCCTGAACACCATTCGTGGCGCGTTCGAATACCAGGGCCAGAAATGCTCCGCCAATTCCCGCATCTACGTCGCAGAATCCGTCTGGCCTGCTTTCCAGCAAACGTTAAAGGACCACCTCTCCCGCCTGTCTGTCGGCCCGGTCGACGAATACGCCCACTTCATTAACCCCGTCATCCACGAACGCGCCTTCGACCGTCTTGCGGAGGTCATTCACGCCGCGCGCACCGATCCCGAACTCGAACTCGTTGCTGGCGGCATCGCCGACAAGAGTCAGGGATACTACGTACACCCGACTGTTTACCGCACAACGAACCCGAAGCATGAGATCATGTCCCGGGAACTATTCGGCCCCATTCTAGGCGTATACGTGTACCCAGACAATGAGTGGGAGGAAACGCTGAAGCTAGTGGACGGGACATCGCGCTACGCCTTGACGGGGAGTATCTATGCGAAGGACCCATACGCGTCGCGACAGGCGCAGACAGCGCTGCGTCATGCGGCGGGCATGCTGTATCTGAATACGAAGTGTACGGGTTCGACGGTCGCGCAGCAGCCGTTTGGAGGAAGTCGAGATTCCGGAACGAATGACAAGACGGGCACAATGGCGCATTTGCAGCGGTTCGTGAGTGTCAGGACGATTAAAGAGGAGTTTGGGAGCTTGGAGGAGGTGGAGTATCCTTCTAATGTTGTGTGATGCTGTAGCTTGTCGATAGTAAATCAACGTAAACTACGATCGTCCTTCTTCGATTCTATCATATGATTCTTATTAGTAGTAGTAGTAGTAGTAGTAGTAGTAGTAGTAGTAGTAGTAGTAGTAGTACTGCATTATTTGGGAAACTCTGGCAAGTTTGTATACCACGGGTTGGTTATACCGAGATATAATATCACAGGAAAATGAACTTTCATCAAGCTCCTGAGCATGTCAATGAGTAGTATGTATTTTGATAAATACTAATTAAACGTGACAAGTATGCTATACTATGTAGCTGACAAATTAAATCAAAAAATGTGAGAAGTTACAAATCTTCGAAAACAAGCATGACGCAGATACAGAACTGCAAAGGGAGCCCAGTTCGCCCTAAGATTTCCTGCCACTGCCATGGCAATTTCAATTAATATACGGAGGAAATGGCCCACATTCTTGCAGCCCCGACGGAAAGACCTTTGCAAAAAAAAGCTCAAGCTTGGCTCATTTCATGCATATCTGCAGGCAAGGCAAGGGGAAAAGAATCCGTAGGGCCATGTGGAGTCTTTTCTTCACGGGCGGAATGCACATACCATCTCGACTACTACTACTACTACTACTACTGCTGCTGCTGCTGCTGCTGCTGCTGCTGCTGCTTAAATTGGTTCCTTGTGTGTACTTTCATCGTGACCGGATAACTCTAGGGAGCCCCTTACTTCCAGGCTCTTCTTGTCTCGAAATCACCGTCGAATTCAATTCTAGTCGTGCGCGGTAGCCATGCTCAATTCGATGGGGAATCAATGCCTCTAATAATCCAGAATGATATCTCGGTATGGAGAGAGGTGCAGCACCGCCAGGTGTAGGCAAACCTGCGCACATTCAGGTTCTGGGAGCAGTATTTGCAGGACGTTGCGATAACCAGTCTCAACCTTTCAGGATCAGACAGCGATCTTCCCCTCAATGTCCGTCGAATCATTCCTCTGCCCACACCACCCCGTGCGGTCACCATCTCGTCCTTCGTAAAAGCCGTCTGGGCTGTGGTTCTAGCTCAAGTGACCGGCCAACGGGATCTTGTGTTCGGCCATGTCCTGAATGGGCGCGACACGCCCGTCGCCGGCGTCCATGCTATGTCTGGGCCTTGCGTTACTGTCTGCCTCATTCGCATAACGATCCACTCGCCTTCCAATAACCGAGTCCTCAATTTATTGTATCACGCACAGCACCAATACACGCGGGCTCTGCCATATACCGGCATAGACTTTTAGGCCATTCGCCAGCACTCGACGTCATGGCCCGCGAATACATCTTTCAGCAGCCTTCTAACGTATCGGAATGGCGCCCACAAATCGAACTACAATTTCCAGGGTCATGGATTTATTTTGAGGACTCGGGTAATAGGCAGCTTGCCCCAATTTCATGTAGTGACGGTCCCTTTGCAAGATCGAAATCAACTGATCGTGTACCTTGATATTTCCAGTCGGTTAGGAAATTTGGGAGACATTGAGGATTGTTGGAGAGGTTCTGCTCCGATATTGCGGATCTTAACAATGGGGTGTTTCCTCTTTCAAGAGTTTATTATTGTACAGTAGATAGATGAGAGCATGTAGATGGGGGGTGTTAGTGAAGTGTTGGAATGGGAGCATTTCATCGGAAGATGAAGTTGTTGTATAGTAGTAATAATTTTCCTTTGCTTGATCAAAATTGACGCTTGTACAGTAAATAGTTTCGACTATTAAGCAATATCTATCACTTTTCGTCTTATTGAGACTGCATGATAGACATTCATTGATAGGCGATTAACATTTAAACAGAAGTAGTCCTACTAACCTTGTGCCATCTACACAGTATTGCCTACCACGACCGCTCTCCTGACCGCTAAAAGCGGCAGAATCTCATCGACCTCGCAAGAAAAAGTACGGATATAAGCGGATATAGACGGATATCCATTTCATACAGCTCCGAAAAAGTCAGTCAGCATTCTGTATGTTTTTTGACCGCCTTGGAAAAGTGGCAGAATCGGAGGTGTAACCAGCCATTGCGCCGAATACTTCGTTCTAGCGTGTTGATATTAGAATAGAGTCTTGGATTACGGATGGTGTTTGGTTGAAGCCCTGGAGGGAGAGACTAAGTCCTTCTGTAGGAAAATAGAATAGATATGAATGTTGGATGTGTATATCAATCTTTTTTTTTTCTTCTGCGGTTCTATCATGTCTTCTATAGCATGTGAAATAGTAGTGCGGATAAGACATCCTGATATCCTTCCACAAAGGTGATAAAGACTGTATCAAGTACTCTGTAAGCGAAGAGGATTTCACACGCTGTCCTAATAAGTAAAACATCTGAGTCGTAAACACATCAAAAAGTTCCTCTCACTACTACTAGTAGTAGATAGCTACCACCACTTAAACCACGATGATCCTCCACTTCCATTTCCAGTGGTAGTAGTAGTAGTACCTCCTCCATCCTCAACAGCAGAAGTACTATCAGTACTATTAGTACTCCCCTTCCCCTTCCCAGTCCCATTCCTAGTAATACTACCATTCAGCCCATCCCCACCATTAACATCCTCATCATCATCATCAATTTCATCACCATGATCCCTATCATCACTCCCCTCAACATACTGCAACGTCTGCTCCAAAACCAACAACTCCCTCTCCACCACCTCCGCCCAATTCTGCACATCCCCAATTTCTTTCAACCCGTCCCTCGCCTCCCCCGCCAACTTATCCCAGCTCTCATTCTGCTTCGCCAGTGCAGCTGTATGTGATTCTAGCTCCGCTTGCTGCTTCTCCAGCGCGGAGGCGTTCTCTGTGATGGTGTGCGCGCGCTCCACGAGCGGGGAAGCATGTGTGCCGCCGATGTTGAGCAGCGTTGCGCTGAAGGCGGATTTGGCTTCGAGGGTTTCTTTGCTTTTTTCGGGGGTGGGTTGAGTGGGCATTTTGGGGCGGTGTTGAGGGGGGATTCAAGTCAGTGTGTGTATAGTAAGTACTGGTGGTGCTTGGTTGTTGGTGTGGAGATGGTTGTTTATCTGATAGTAGTAGATAGATCGATAAGAGGGAAATGGTGGGGGGTTTCACGGGTTACTTATGAATGGTTCTTGTGTGAAATAGGACTAGCTCGGTGTGATTTTGAGCCTGGGGCGTGTGGTGAAGGTGGGGGTGCGTGTGCTGAGCACTTCATTATCAACCCCCCAGAACAGCATGCTTCGTATGGCTGGTTAACTGAATAGGACTCATAGCGCACCCTTTTTAATTGTGGAGACCGTAAATAGAATGTCTGCTACTCTTTCGAACTCGAATTCATTGTTGAGATCTAGGTTTTCATGGGCTGTAAGCAACTTGTAGCACGGCTACTTATGTAGAGGTTTGCGATTTACTGGACTGGACCATTACTATACGAATGTTATGTCCACGTCTAGTATTGATTTATACATGAGGTACTAGGCGTGATTGGCGTAGTAGTACTATAGTAGTACCAGTTGAATCTAGTATGATCGAACTCTTCCTGGTCATCCTCTGATCATCCCCTAGTGCGAGCATGTATATACTACTATTAGTGGTACTAGTTAGGATCATCTAGAACCTCCTTCGGCCACGCCAACCACTCCTCCCACTCCTCCCCCAAGCATCCCATAACCTCCAGGATAACAAACTGCCCCGAATCCCCAAACATCCAAAATTCCCGAAATCGATGCAACAAACACGCATAATGAGCCAAAATAATCAGTGCCTCAGGCCGTCTCTGCTCCAAAGACTCCGCGAACTCAATCTTCATCAGGATAGGCCACGTAGTTACCGCATTAATTCCCACATGCAGCTCGTCCCGATTCTCTTCTATAACATTCAAACACGACTGTAACGATTCTACAGCCTCCCTATATATTCCCGTGAGTTCGTTCCCGAGCTTGGCGCTATAGATCAGATTTACAGGCGCTGACAGCCGGGCCCAAGACATCCATTAAATTTATACAGATCTATGCCCACGTTGAAACTTAAACCGAGCGGCGTATCCTGAATCATATGCGAGGCTTTGCTAACAATGGTACGGACACCATGATAAACACGGAAGAAGTGGACGAAGCGGTCGAGGAAGGTATCAAAGTCGCCGCCTCCTTCGCGGTAGACGAGTGTGTCGCAGAGCATGTGGATACCCAGAGTAGCTGCGAAGACGAAGAGATGGACGCAATTCTCTCGTATTACTTGCGGGGAGGACGCTTGGAAAATGGACAACGCGTCGGTTTGTAGCTGGGCTGCGTGGTAGCGGTAGTATTCGCGGCGATCTGGTCGTGCCGTACTTAGGTGTAGGGCACTAAATGCGAGCAGCTCGTTGACTAGATATGGGGCTGTAGTAGGGTCCACACCATCTGCTAGCCATGATATAGATCTGTTGGGGTCGAAGCTGGTGCAGATCTTGGTGTACAAATTGTGGAAGAGCTCGATATGGAGTATGTTCACGGCCTGGCTGCGGAAGGGCGCCTGTGAGGGTTCATTTTCAGGGCTCTCCCGCGGTGTACTCCCGAGAGGTATAGGCGGTGAAGCTGCTCTGGCTGCATGTACTACTGGCCGTGGAGCTGCTGCTCTCAGCAAAGAGCGGCTTCCGTACTCACAGACTCGCTCGGCGCTATGGCAATTCGAGCAAATGGGATGTCTCTCATCGCACTGGAGAGGTTAGTCGGTTCGTAGGGATAACCGGAGCGTAAGCTAATACCTTGACATGGCGCCGCTTACACTCGAGACATCCGTTGCGAGATTTCTTGTGGACTCTCTGTGGCATTCCGAGTGGGTGGCGACAAGTAGGCGAATACTAAGCAGTTGATATCCTGGCGCCTATTGTCCGAAACAGGGGCATTTCGAACGTTCAAGGTTTCCTACCAGGCTAATATGCCGCGTGTGAGATTAACCTTGGCTCGCCCTATAGCGATGGGGCGCAGGGTCCTGTCGAGGAGGATGGAGCAAATGAGAGAGGAAAAAGTCCGCGGGTGCACGGGCCACTCTCTATTATTAACCCAACCCGAGCCCTACTTTCATAGACACGGATCTGAACTGGATGATATAAAGACGAATAGATCTTACTATGCATACAGCTACCAAGCATCACTTTCGAAAACTAACTATAACACTGTCATGGCAAAACTCGAACCTTTTAGCGGCGACTACTATCTATGGGACTATGTCCCTTCCATAGCCGCCTCGATCATCTTCTTCCTCATCTACCTCGCTCTAACTCTATTCCATGTCTGGAAGGCCTGGATAACCCGCGCACGCTTCTGCATCCCCTTCATCATCGGTGGATTCTGTACGTCCTTCCTCTTTTTACCTGTCCCTGCCATCTCGTTCACCATGACCCCTAACCATATGCAATCCACGCAGTTGAAGTAATCGGCTTCGCCGTCCGCGCCGCGTGCACCAACGCAACCGCCAACCTAATCCTCTACATCCTGCAAAGCGTCTTCATCCTAATCGGCCCCGTTCTCTTCTCCGCAAGCGTCTACATGGTCCTAGGCCGTCTGATTCGCAGCGTCAACGCAGAAAAGTACTCCCTCATCCGCATCACCCGAGTAACCAAAGTCTTCGTCACCGGCGACATCCTCTCATTCCTAGTACAGGGCCAAGGCTCAGGGTTAATGGCCACGGACGGCCTAGAGAACATAGCAAAAGCCATCGTGATCATTGGATTGATGATCCAGATCATCATGTTTGGATTCTTCATCGTCGTGGCTACGGTCTTTGAGAAGAGGATGAAGCGCGCGCCGACGAGTCAGGCGCCGTACACGCATCATCTGTACCCTTTGTATGCGGTTAGTTGGCTGATTATGCTCCGCTCTATCTTTCGGGTTTTTGAGTATGCGTTGGGGCAGAAGGGCTATCTTTTGGCGCATGAGTGGCCGCTTTTTGTGTTTGATGCGGTGCCGATGTCTGCTGTGATGGTTGTCTGGGGGTATTGGCATCCTGGGACGTTGAAGGCAGAGGGGGGTCTGGGGGCGCAGCAGGAGGTGGGGATGGGCTGGTATCGGAGTATGGCATAGCTTTACTTACCTTTTAGATATCGTTGCATGCGTTGAGCCATCACAGTTCTTTTTTTTTTCGCTTTGTGTTTTGAAGATGCCGTTGTCAGGATGAATCTATCGTGGAGTTATTGTCAGAGATTATGGCATGTCCGTATATAGAGCAAGCTTAAGAGCCTCGCTATTGCATGCACTTGAGAAATACAAAAAATTCATGTAGGGTCAAGTATATTCTTTACGCTAAGTTGTTTGGCCCTAGTTATTGTAGTAGGTGCGTGTTCAAAGAGCAGTCATAGAGTCACCCGCAGCGCTCACTAGGCTCACGTGGTGTCGAGACAAAAGTTGCGGCCACCATATCAGGCACTGTTAGTAGATAGTTAAGATTAGATCCTCCTTTCATAAGTTTGTTATGAGCACATATCGCCGCGCTAATGCTGCATCTGTCTGTCTGTCTGTTGTCCTACTTGAAACAAATACAACCAAAGATAACATTGTATACATAACGCTGATAATGCAAAGTCAATTTTTACATCAATGAATGTTCCCTTCGCTAACGCCCGCCCGAAATTCATATACTGCCAAATGATACTTATGTATGCTCGCGTATACACTCGAAATAAAGATCAATTACATCCATTACATCCCATCTCTTCCTCGCGTCGACTTTTTACATATTGGCCAGCTCGTGGTCAATTTGTCGGTCGAGGAACGTCCGCTTGTCGCCCATCAACGTCGTTTGTAGTCGCTGTTCGACCAATGCTCGCACTGTTTCTGTTAGCATCTCGTCCTGTCAACTCAATGGAAGATTGACTCACCCTGCTTCTTCGTCACCGTGTCCAAATCTACCTCCGCCAAACAGGCGCGGATCGCCTCGGTGATTGCCCCCTCGTCGGGCCCGCCACTTCCCCGGAAGTCGAATGCACTCACAGGTCGCGATATCCCACCTACCGGGCTGCGCGAGTTAGGCCGCCCAAGCAGGTTCTCCGTGCTCTGCATCAGACCCACGCTGTGGCGGTTTGTCATTCCGTCCGGCACTTGACTAAGGTTGCCCAACGAGCGTGACGCCATATGTCCACTGGCAAACGGCTGGTCCGTGTATCGTGTGAGGCTCGACATGTGCGAGTTGCGGTTACCTGGAGTGTTGGCAAACGGTGCTGGCGACTGTGGCGGCATGTACGGGCTGCCGTGGCGGCCCTGGTGATGCGGGAATCCCGTCAGGATCGTCGACGCCGGCTTCACTGAAGAATAGTTCGAGTGCATGTCATCCATCTCCAGCGCCATATCATCATACCGTCCTCCGTACATCTTCTCTTGGCTCATACCAAAGTCACCGCGCCGTCCCGGCAGGTTGTTGGCCAGCGCGTAGTCATCCCAGCGCTGCAGCGGTACACTGCGCGGGTCGAAGCCCTCGTCGTCCACTGCCACAACGCGCTTGTTGCCCTGTTCTCCAATAACGATACGTGTGCTACCCCAACTGAAGTCATCCTGCTTCCAGAACGAATAGAGCGGCAGAATGAAGTTGTAGATGGGATAGGCACAGATGTAGATGATCATCCAGCCAATGTGCTGCCACTGCCGTTTCAGAAGGAAGATGATCGCCTGGAGACCATACACACCCGCCAAGATAACGATCGAAATCATGGGGAAGGGTCCCGTATGACTGGCAACGCGGTAGATCAGGTAGCCCAGGTAGACACAGGTTGCAGGCAGGATAACCGTTCCAAGAAGATCGACCAACACGACAAACCGCATACTGAACAAGCAGAATCCGCACATATCTTTCAGCGCGGCCACTTCCACTAGGTTGTGTACGGTTGAGTTGATCCAACGCCGACGCTGCGACAGCAACACCGACCAGGTTTCTGGCGCGGCCGTACTGGCGTACGCATCGGGGATGAACTTGTAGGACATTTCCGGGAAGTGCTTCGTCATAAGCGTAGTCAGGAAACGGTCCTCACCGAGCGAGAGGAGGTTCTTTTTATGAAGGGTATCAACGTCATTGTCTGCATACTCCTCGATGACCTTGTCCGAAATGATTAGAGGCTTGCCCTTGTCGGCTGTCCGCAAACGGTACATGCAGAAACTGTTCCTGTTAGTCAATGAGTTTGTCGGAGGATTAAATCAACTTACCATCCAGGAAGACACGTGACACTGCCGAAAAGCGATTCGAACGCCTTGGCCAGGTGATGAGAAATATAGTACTCATACACCTGGATCATCGTCCACCAACTCCGCTCTTCATTTTGCAGGCTAGTCTCACCACAAATACCAGCAATGCGTGCATCATTGGCACAAGCGGCAACCAGACGGTTGAGTGAATCCTCTCGGACACTGGTATCGGCGTCCACCATCAGACAGTATTCGTACAGTTCGGGATCTACACCGATGACATTGTTGATCTGGTGGAATATCTCCAGCTCTAGGGGCGACATGGGGGCACGATGGTGTACCCGATTGAGGAATCGCATCATCATGATCTGCGAGTCACGCTTACCCCTGTTTCCAGGTTTGGGCCGACTTTGCTCCGACTCCTTGCCGACCTTGACAACGACAATATACGGGACCACATTGCCCTCATACTCGTAAAGACCGGAATACACTTTGCCGTAGTTCAGCTGCTCGCTTCCCTGGCCAATCGCCATGCACGGCAACGCTGGGGGATCAACCTTGGGATCGACTCCCAGAATATCGAGAACGATCTTAGGCGTAGGACGATCATTTCCGCCACCAACAATCATACCGTCGCAAATGACGAAGATGAGCTTCCTCTTGTTGTCATACTGAAGAGCCGTGAGGGAGTCGAGACCTTTACGCAGCGCATCCTCACCTTCTGTGTACGCCGGCACATGGCAGATAACGAATTTATCCTGTGGTGCAGGGCGACGCTTGGAGCCAAGTTGAAGGGCACTAACGAACTTAACGAGGATAACAGCGCAGATAAGAACCGTGAACGAGAGAAGAATCCAGTTGTTAACCGTACAGCGGGGGCTGTCGCGGAAATCCACTTTGCCTTTATAGAAGACATAGTCAAGACAGGTCTGTGACTGCTGGAAGTCTGTTGTGTTCTGCCATTTGTCGGTAACATCCTCACCCGCATAATTCTTGAACAAGTCGGTTACAGACGACGGTAGGAAGGCGTAAGTGTCGTCATTATCGAACAATTCGGCGGTATAGAAGTAGTCCGTGAGGTCATAAATCTTATCGTGAACAATGACCCAATACCGTGAACTATCTGTTGCTTGTTTTTGCACGGTGCTCTTCGACCAAACAAGGGGACCCTTGTAATAAGTCTTAATCTTGGGCAAAAAGATGTCCTCATACCAAGTGATGTTATGCAGTTTGGTGGTCGTACTGGGCGTGTGATAAGATCCACAGTAGTGCTCTGCGTTGGGATACTCGAGGGCATTGGTGTTGTTGAATTGCAAGGTGACTGACTGCTCCGTCACGTATGGCGAACAGAAGCGAGTCAACGGAGGGGTGAAATACTGATCCAGGATCTCACCCGCAAATGGCTTCATGTTGCTCGTTGTCGTTTCGATTGAAGAATCACTGTGCTGAAGTCTCCAGAACTTGGTAATGTCGTAAACGTTGCCGTGGATACTGACATAAAAATCGTTGTCGAGAGCATGCCAACTAAGTTGCTTCTCATTCCAAGCTTTGTCCTTGTTCGGACACAGCAGATCGCCGAAGGCAATGATGTAAAAGCAAACCACACCGTTAAATAGCAGAATGATAAGCATAAGAACGAGCTTCTCGCGCCAGGCCATCCGAACATCGGGACGCTTCATCCGGCCGATCCAGCGCAGAGCGAATGAGGGAATCCAGAAAGTCAATGCCCAAACAAAGCCGACCCATATGCGTCGGCCCTGAGTGATGGGCTTCTTTTCAATGTGTTTGGGGTCGCCGACTTCAGGGTCGAGCTCGCCGTTATTATAGTGGGCGTATTCGTCAGAATACGGATTATCCCACTTCCTAGTATCACCCTTGGAGCCGAGACCATAATCGCCACCCATGTTTAGAGTCTGGGGCACACTTGGAGCAATTGATTTGGCGCCTCCATGGAAGCTGGGTGCCAAAGTGCTCTGGCGGTGGTTGAGAAGGTCATCCCGACTGCCCAGAAGGCTGGTGGACTCTGCCATAGGGGTGCCTGCATAATGGGGCATTCCAGCATCGAGCATGGTGTTCCCGTACAGGAAAGGGTTGGCCGTCGCGGGCTCTTCTGGTTTCATGTCAAGCATCGTTTCAGCTTCCCACCATGCACTTTCTCTCATCCAGATTCGCTGGTGGCCCACGAAGGCATCGCCATTGGTCCAGCCCCTCTCCATCAGCCAGCTCTCAACACCATCCCGACCCTCAGCACATCCGAGGCGGTAATAACGGCCGACAAATTCGTCCATGTCGAAATCGGCCGTAAAGTCAAGCTGCCTGAGGCGTCGGTTGGCCCATTCGGCAAGTCTCCATTCCCGCAATTGCCGGGACACGACTCCAGCTGACCAAGCGGCCGTCGGTGTGAAAGTGCTGAGCGTCTCGGGCAGATCGTCAGTCGGATGGACGGAGATATGATGCCAGACTCTGCTGCTTCCCAACGTGGTCGGAAGATCAAACCGGCCCCGCTTCCCAACCGTGATACCTTCGGCTTCAACAGGGAGCAAAAGTTTCCGGAGGAAGGAGTCCATGTCGACTTCCAGCCCAACCTTCTCCAGCACTTCCTGCCGCTTGCCGAGTTCATACTCGCGTTCGTGCCAAGCAGAGCCCGTGGTGATCCCGAGGTCCGCCTCGACTTGGGCTACCGCAGAGGAAACATCGTTTGCAATAGCATGTCCCACAGGAGGGACAGTGACGCCATCCTCCTTCATCTCTGCATTAATACCAGCATTGTCATCGAATACGTTGCGAACTGCCACGGCTTTTCCTAGCGCAGGTCTGGGAATATCCACCACAGTAATGCTGACCGTGTCATCGTCAGTCCACTGGCCGCCCGGACCAGAGCCACCACTGGTGCTAGGGTCATTGTCGAGAATCGCCTGAAGCTCGCTTGAGATGGCCTCGTTGGCTTTCTCGATCACCCAGTCGACCAGTGCCTCGTAAATTCCCGAGATCAGCACTTCGCGATCATCAGTAGAGCAACTGTGAAGCAGAACTTCCGGGTCCAACCCGAGCAGACCGCCAACCTCGTCACATGCTTCCTCAAGATCTTCCTGGTCAACCAGAAAGCCGGTGGCATTACCAAGCTTCAGCAGACCGGCAAGGGTGGACAGGAGACCACGCTGAGCCGCCCCCTTGATGCCGATCGATTTGAGCGCAGCTCTGAAGTCTTCCGCCGCAGCAGCGTCGTCGGCAGCGGGGAGATACGCAGGCGGCGTATATGTGCCCGACTTGCTCAGCAGAGCGTACGAGGAGGCATCTTTCAGGTTCAGAAACTCTCGCTCTGCCGGGGTCGAGATCGAAGCTAGAAGGTAGTAGAACACGTCAAATGCACGATAACCGGCCTCTGTAGGGATATCAAGAAGACCTTTGCGCACATTGATGCCAGACGTGGAGAGTGCCAGTGAGAGGCCTACAACATCACCTTTCAGGTTAATAGAGTAGCGAGCAGAAAGAGCAGAGTACAGGGAGTATGAAGGGTTGAAGGAGGTTACAGCGGACAGGAAGGGTCGGAGAGCTGTAAGAGCGGTAAATGCGATGTTTGGAGTGGTGAGAGGTAGCGCGGTCAGGAAAGGTTCAAATATGGAAGGGGTGGATTGATGGGTTGAGCTGGAACAAGTTAGCATTTGGTCCATGAGGCTGAGAGCTTGGTGCTTACCATAGGACAATGCATCCATCTTCCGCTCGCCTCCGTGCATGCTCCCAAGCTCTGAGTGCTAAATCCCGATCTATCGTCCCTCCTTCTTGACCATTGGCGTTTGCCCGGGTAGCGGTGACCCATGTGTTCACCACCAAGCTCGTTCCTGCATCCAGTTGATAGGGTTGCCCCGAGTTGTAATATGCATGCAGCGCATTTAGCAGCGTTGTTGTCGTCACAGTTGAGGGGGCACTCGGACGGGCCGAGGAAACGCCCGTGGAATGGCTCGAGTAGACGGAGAAGCGATTTGACATGACTATTTCTTGCTTGTCCCAGAACTTGAATAACGATAGTGGTAAGGCGCAGTGCCAATCCGGGGGTCGCTCTTATAACCAGGTTGAACGAGTGGAAGGATATCGAGCGCTGGTCAAAGCATGGGGTGTCGCAAGCTTCACCGAGTGGCAGGCGATGGACGCATGTGAATAAACTCAAACGACGGAAATGCTTCAGAGTTTCTAAAATAAGAGCGGACTTCACTGGAGCTGAATGTCAACGATCGAGATGGATATAGAGGTACAGATCAGCGATCAGGCGATTGGTATCGTTTGAAGCGAACGTTAGAAGCGATGGGCCGTAGCAAATGTTGCCATACGAAAGGCTGCAAATTATTAAGATTATGTTCAAAACACAGAGGCAACGGGCCAGCAGAAGCAACGGAGAATGGAAAGGCAAAGAATCACAGCCAATACTGACAGAAACAGAAAACAACGAACATCAAAGAAGCAGTAGTGAGAGGGGAACTAAACCGACAGAAGACCGAGCAACAGAGCAGAAAGGGAAGAGAGAGAAAGAGAGCGAGAGCATGATGCGAGGCCGCTGACCCCGATCTGTTGTTTGTATGGTATCTCTGGGTTTAGTTTACCACCAACAGCTTAACTGCAGTGGGGATAGGCGGGTACGGCAGGATGAAAATTACCTCTGCAGTGAATGGGTGGGCTGCTTGTTTCAATTGAGGTTCTGTTCCGTCGCCCGGGTTTCTCATTGGTAATCCAAGCCCCCCCAGAAGCCTTGCAATTGCAAAGAAACCCGAGCGAAAAGCACTATGGTTGCTGCTAGCCATCCGCTAGCTAACTCTAACTAAGGCGATAGGTCGTTTAGTAACCGAACTAGGAGCCTCCCGAAAAAGTACACCGTTTCGCCTCCCCCTCGCACACATTTTGCGACTACTGAGTTAGTTAAGTTCGGAGAAATGCGATGAGGGCTTCGAGAAAGCCAATTTGAAAAAGTAGAAAAAGAAAAGAAGAAGAAAAAATAAAAAGGTGTCTCCTGCAGCACGCATACATAGATAACATACATACATTACTGGTGCAGGTAAAGTAGCCATATATCCCTTACACTGAAGTATTGAAAATTTCCCGGGCCAGCATCAGGCTCCCTGAAAATGTCATGTGGCGTGCATCAGTACTTTACAGCCAACCAATGGAGGGGGCTAAAAGGGTCAGATCCATGGCCCTAGACCCTTAAGGACCCTATAAATGGCACACTTTGTCTCACCCGAACTGGGGCCCGATACCCAAATGGGTAGGCCGTATCTCTTCGTACGATACTAGTGAGATTTCTCTCATCCAGCATTCAGCCAGTGCGACTGGATCTACCCGGCAGGACAGCATTCAATGTCTCAGTCAAAGCCAATGGCTGCTGACCATCTTGCCACCACCTCTTATCAACCTTGCCAGCAACATCGTTGGGTCCGTTCTCTTTGTCTCTGCTATTTCTGGATATCCAGCGACTGGAAGCGGAGGGGCAAGCTGTCATATGCTGTGATGGAAAACTACTAAGAGATCATGCATGATTTACGATGGCGCGCCCAGTGCCGGCGGGTCGCCTTGATGTTGTTGTTATTTTTGTTCCAAAGGAGTGCGCCCCTCCGAGAAAAACCTGGCCATTGTTTTCATTCTGCAGCATCCATAATCGTAATACCCGCCCGTGTGACACAGTAGTATTCTCGTAGTCTACTAGATAGGTAAGGTGGTTGTCTGATGCTGATAGTGAAGACCGACTAGTCACGCTGAATATTAGGGAGAAGAATCTAGTAGTGACTAACTATGTAGCTTAGGACTTAGTAATAGATAAATGACTGGTCTGGTATGAAGGGAAACTTTAAGTTGGGTAACCTCATGCTGCACTGGTACAGGTGACGTTTGGCCCTCTCAACAAAAGACAGAGAGTCATTTGAACATGGTCAGTCATTTGTGATCCTGGGTTGCCTTCATCCAGCACGGCTTTTGCAGTAAGAGAGACATTATCTGTGGGGTGGATATGGATGGTAGAAAACTGGATCTTCCAGCGTGTTCTACGGAGTAAGAGCTTTACCGCCGACCAGCAACAAGAAGGGAAATCCCACCCCCTAGTTTCATCAAACAGATCGAATGATCCAATCGGTCCACCCCGACCAGCTGCTTAGCCTGTTTCTTTTATGTTTTCCCGGGCCCCTCAGGGTCTTCTTGGCTCTCTACTATCTCTCTCTCCTCTCTCTCTTCCCCCCTGCTTTTGTGAGTGGTTAGTGGTGATCACTTACGATCTCCCGACCGAGGATATGAGTGAGTTTTTGCTCCAACCTGCTCGCACTCAAATCCCAAACAGTCAAGTCTCCGCTTTCAATACCCATGGCTCCATCCTTTACTATCTATCTATTAAATATTAACCGCAGATCGCTAACCAGCCGACTGACTCGTAATATGTATCAACTCGAGACGCTGCAGGCCTTGTTGCATATATTGAGGCCTCATGTCCCCCCGGTTCCTGTCGGTTACCAAAGCGTGAGTTGCTGTCAAAGGGAGGGTAGGGGACTTGACCCCTTTTCCTGCGTGTGGCGCTGAATGATTGACATAAGAATTGAATCCGGTTGCCAGAATAGATTGGGGCGGCCGGGACGCCTCGTCTCACATTCTCGCCAGTCCTGTTCTTTTTCGCATCAGTACGGAGTAAGTATTGAAGTAATATCTGGAAGTTTATTGCGTAGTATATCTGAGACCCCCAGAATGAGAGAAAGAGTAATTTTTTGAAATCAATGTGGTTTCAGCTCGAGGATTGACAAAATCTCGAGGCGGGACTGAGACCGATGTCTCTTCTATTTTTTTTTTTTTTCGCCCTTTTCTTGTTAATTTCTCCCTTTTCCTTACTCAACCATCCCACAGCCAGTGGGATTAATCTAAATATGGTCCCCTCATTGACTGGACTGGCTCGGGTCTTAACCTAACCAGACCATCAAGGGACGGTTCGACCGACCGGACTGAAAATCCCCACCGGCTGAGGATCCGCGGGTCCTCGGCTGTCAGCGCAGGATGATGCATCGTCCCAAAAATAATCCCCAATCTCAGGAGACACGGGAGGGTGGAAGTGGGAAGAAACAAGCACCACACTATCTGGGATGTGGATGATGACCTACATGATTCTGGCCGCTCGGGTTAAACATTCTGGCCTGTGAAGTTCTTTTCTTTCTTCTTCCTTCCACATGAATCAATTGATTTCTCCGTCACCGACCTGGTCCCTCCCCAGCCCGTGTAAAACCCCCTCAATACCGGCCCGCTAGTAATTTGCAACTTCTCCCTCCCCCCCGCCGTCCGGTACCACTCCCATACGGACTTACCCAGTCGGGCAACATAGTGACTGTTAGTGCTGGTGCGCCGAGTCGCAGCTGGACCAACCACAGCCCAGAGTCTGTAGGTTTTTCCCTTTATCAACAGTAGTCCATATTATTGTTCCGCTGCTTAACCCCGGACAGCTTCCCAGTAGCAACTTGTGCTCTTCTTTCTGTCGCACTTGTGGGTGCTGCTTTCTTCTTGTTGTTGACTGCCTTTTTATTCTTTTTTTCTCTTTTCCTTCTTCATTCGGTTCTTTTGGCCCTGTTATTCTAATCTAATCACTGCTCCCCGTTGAGCATCCCTCGTTTATCCATCTCATATCGCCTATATACGATCGTTTGGCCGGATCGCGCCACTCCTGCCTCTCGCTACCTCCGTCAGCAGGGCTGCCATTTCACATTCACCACCACACTGGAGATTTGGATAGTCACCGATCGTCCTTTGTCTTGTGATCGGCTAGCATTTACCTTTTATACGAGCAATGCACCTATCTTCCTTAGATTACTAGGAATTCCTCATTCAAGATAATCGAACATTCCTCGGCTGAAAATAGCCCACTTTGGCCAAGCATACCTGAAGTGTTCCATTACGGTCCAGACGAGATCTCGCTTTTCTGTCGGCCACGGTCTTTACAGATTTTGTTGCAGGTGCCCTTGTGGTGATTGCGGCGAAAGCCTGACAACTTCCACAACCTCAACCTTGAGGTGGTAACCTCACCAGCAACATGGCTGGACCTGCACCCTCCGGGCGTACACCGTCCCATGCCCAGTCGTCGTTACCATCCCTACCAGCACATTTACAGTCGGATACTCACTTGACCGCGCACCTGGCCAGCCGGTAGGGTTTCTCTCTCATATAGTGTGAAGCTCATTTCACTGACAGCGGCTTCTAAGGTTTCATGTGGGCTTACCAACAGCCCGTCTTTCCTCCCAGGCATTGATTAGTTTGAACACATATACAACGTCATCCCGCGGTCCCGATGGCGACAAGGAAGGAAGTGCTATGGGAGAGGCGGAAGACCTCGCTAAACGTGCATTTACTCGGCTAGGTGCCCGAGGTGAAAACCAGGCCATTGTTTTCCTGTGAGCATACACATTGATAACGGCTTATACGGAAAGCTGACAGTCATTCTAGTGGTGAAAGTGGCTCTGGAAAGACGACCATTCGCTCACACCTGTTATCATCGTTTCTCTCCTTCTCCTCGACCCCGCTCTCTTCGAAGCTGTCTTACGCTGCGTTCGTTTTCGATACCCTGACCACCACCAAATCCGTGACTACACCAACTGCTTCCAAAGCTGGACTGTTCCTGGAACTGCAATACGACGGGTCTTCCTCGGTCAACCCCACCCTGATCGGTGGTAAGATCATCGACCACAGGCTGGAGCGTAGCCGCATCGCATCGGTGCCCACGGGAGAACGTAGTTTCCACGTGCTTTACTACCTATTAGCCGGTACGAGTGCTGCGGAGAAGGAACACTTGGGTTTCGACAGTTCTATACATGTGTCGACAAGTGGTGGTAAGCTCTCAGGGGCCTCAATTGGTCACAAGAGGTGGAGATACCTCGGCCACCCCACCCAGCTTAAAGTCGGCATTAACGATGCCGATGGTTTCCAACACTTCAAGACCGCACTACGAAAGTTGGAGTTCCCTCGCAGCGAGATAGCCGAATTTTGTCAAATCCTTGCTACCATTCTTCACCTTGGTCAACTGGACTTCGTTAGTGGCCAAGCCACTACCACCACGGCCGAGGAATCTGGCGGTTACTCTCATGAAGGTGGCGAAACAGTCACCGTCGTCAAGAATAAGGATGTCCTTTCTGTTATCGCTGCCTTCCTTGGATTGGGGGTGGAAGAGCTGGAGACCAGCTTCGGGTATCGGACAAAGACAATTCGTCGGGAACGCGTGACGGTCATGCTTGATCCAAAGGGCGCACGGCAAAACGCTGATGGGCTCGCGCGCACCCTATACTCCCTGCTGGTGGCCTATATCTTTGAGGGGATCAATCAGCGGATATGCGCGGCTGAAGACAGTGTGGCGAACACTGTCTCCATTCTCGACTTCCCTGGATTCTCTCAAGCCAGCGCAACTGGCTCTACGCTCGATCAGCTCCTGAGCAATGCGGCCACAGAGTCCTTGTACAATTTCTGCTTGCAGTCATTCTTCGAGCGGAAGGCTGAGATGCTGGATCGTGAAGAAGTTACTGTGCCTGCTACGAGCTACTTTGACAACAGCGATGCTACTCGTGGCTTACTAAAATCTGGAAATGGCCTGCTGAGCATCCTTGACGACCAGACTAAGCGCGGCCGGACCGATTCCCAGTTCCTCGAGTCTGTCAAGAAGCGATTCGAGAACAAGAACCCTGCCATTACAGTCGGCAGCACGGGACAAGGAACCACCCTGATCTCCCAAGGTGCTCGGTCCGCATTCACGGTGAAGCATTTCGCCGGGGAAGTCGACTACCCCGTGCAGGGTCTTCTTGAAGAGAATGGCGATGTTGTTTCGGGAGACCTCATGAACCTGATGAGGTCGACAAGTAGCGACTTCGTGCGAGACCTATTTGGTCAAGAAGCTTTACAGACAGTCACCCATCCTCAGGAGCGGACCGCAATTATGCAGGCACAGGTGAGCTCCAAGCCTATGAGAATGCCCAGTATGGCTCGCCGGAAGGCTGGACCATCTCGCTTAGCCTTCGATGCACCTGAAGGGGACGATCAAGATGAATACGATAGTCAAGCAGGTAGCATGTCAAAAAGTTCTGCCCGGCGAAAGAGTACAATGCTGGCTAACGGTATGCAAGGCGCTGCAGGCCAGTTCCTCTCTTCATTGGATATCGTTAGCAAATGCTTGAATTCTGCCAATCTGAACCCTTACTTTGTGTTCTGTCTGAAACCCAACGATCGCCGCATTGCGAACCAGTTTGATAGCAAATGCGTGCGAGCCCAAGTCCAAACCTTTGGCATTGCGGAGATCAGTCAGCGGCTCCGGAACGCCGACTTCAGCATCTTCCTCCCCTTTGCTGAGTTCCTAGGCCTGGCTGAAATTGGCAATGTCGTTGTTGGGAGCGACAAAGAGAAATCCGAGGTCGTCTTGGATGAAAAGCGATGGCCAGGGAACGAAGCTAGGGTGGGCAGTACGGGCGTCTTTCTCAGCGAGCGCTGCTGGGCCGATCTCGCCAAGTTAGGCGAGCGTGTTGTCCCTGTATTTCCTGCAGAAGGCTCTGATGAAGGCGGGGATAACCTCCTTCACGCGCGGGCTGGAGGCTACGCTGATTCCAAAGTCCGACTCCTCGGTCCAACGGATCAGTCCCCTGGTGGTTTCATCTACGGGGAGGATGGGAAACAGGGGTACTCCAGTAGTCGCGAGTTTGACGGGCGCTCAGATGCTGGCGCCTCTGCGTTCAATTCAGGCGACATGTTCCGGAATTTGGATACGAGAGAACAAATGCTCGAAAAGGGCAATGAAAAGAAGATGGAGGAGGTGGATGAGGCGCCCGTTTCCGGAAGTCGCAAACGCTGGATGGCGATTGTCTACCTTCTCACCTTCTATATCCCGGACTTTTTGATCAAAACGTTTGGACGCATGCCCCGGAAAGATGTCAGAGTTGCCTGGCGTGAGAAGCTTGCGATCAACTTGATCATCTGGTTCAGCTGTGCCTTTGCAATCTTCTTCATCGTTGCTTTCCCTGGTCTGATTTGTCCCACACAGCATGTGTATTCCACAGCAGAGCTGAGCTCACACAACGGCAAGGATGGGCATAATTCCTTCGTTGCGATTCGCGGTATAGTTTTCAATTTGGACAAGTTCATGCCGTCTCACTACCCAGATATCGTCCCGGAGAAATCGCTCAAGAAGTATGCTGGTACCGATGCCACCGGTCTTTTCCCAGTTCAAGTTTCGGCTCTATGCCCAGGCAAAGACGGCTCGATTGACCCTACAGTGCTCTTGGACTACTCTTCCACGAACGTCTCCGGCTCTGCCACTACCGTCAGTACCAGTGATACCAACTGGGTATACCATGACTTCCGTTACTTCACTAATGACTCTCGTCCCGATTGGTTCCAGGAGCAGATGATAATGCTCAAAGCGAACTACTTCAAGGGATGGATTGGCTACACCCCGACATACATGAAAACTTTGGGAGACAAGTCACAGTACATTGGAAGCATCAACGGAAGGGTTTACGACCTGACAACCTACGTGGCCGGAGGACGAAGAGTGCAAGCTCCTGTAGGAAAATCGGTCCCTGCTAACGTCGATCGGGACTTCATGGATGATCTTGTCGTGGAACTCTTCCAACGACTGCCGGGTCAAGATTTAACAAAATACTGGGAGGACCTGCAAATATCCGACGTGATGCGCGAACGTATGCAGCTTTGCTTGGACAATCTTTTCTTTGTCGGCCATGTGGATACCCGTAATTCGCCCCGTTGTCAATTTGCCCGTTACTTCATCCTCGCGATATCGATCTTCATCTGCTTGATTGTCGTCTTCAAGTTCCTGGCAGCCTTACAATTCTCGCGCAAGAACCTCCCAGAGAATCTCGACAAATTCATTATCTGTCAAGTCCCTGCCTACACTGAAGATGAAGAATCCCTCCGCCGTGCTATCGACTCTATGGCTCGCATGCGCTATGATGACAAACGCAAACTTCTTGTGGTTATTTGTGATGGTATGATTATCGGACAAGGAAACGATCGTCCTACTCCCCGAATTGTCTTGGACATCCTAGGCGTGCCCGAATCTGTCGATCCCGAGCCGCTTAGCTTCGAGAGTTTGGGCGAAGGTATGAAACAGCACAATATGGGTAAGATCTACTCAGGTCTCTATGAGGTCATGGGCCATATCGTTCCCTTCCTGGTCGTTGTCAAGGTCGGTAAACCCTCCGAGGTCGCTCGGCCGGGTAACAGAGGAAAGCGTGATTCCCAGATGGTGCTCATGCGATTCCTCAACCGCGTCCATTACAACCTTCCAATGAGTCCTATGGAGCTGGAGATTTATCACCAGATTCGCAACATTATCGGTGTCAATCCCACTTTCTATGAGTTTATTCTACAGGTAGATGCTGATACCGTGGTGGCTCCTGATGCCGCAACACGAATGGTGTCAACACTGCTGGCCGATACCCGCATTTTGGGTGTCTGTGGAGAAACTGCTCTTTCCAACGCCAAAACGTCAATGGTGACAATGATCCAAGTCTACGAATATTACATCTCCCACAACCTTGTCAAAGCCTTCGAGAGTCTTTTCGGATCCATCACTTGCTTGCCGGGTTGCTTCACCATGTATCGTATCCGCTCAGCCGACAGCGGGAAGCCTCTGTTCGTGAGCAAAGAGATCGTTGAAGCCTATTCGGAAATTCGCGTCGACACTCTCCACATGAAAAACTTGCTGCACCTGGGTGAAGATCGTTATCTGACAACACTGCTCATCAAGCACCATCCCAAGTACAAGACGAAGTATATCTCAGCTGCTAAAGCATTTACAATCGCCCCTGAGAGCTTCGCTGTGTTCTTGTCGCAACGTCGTCGGTGGATTAATTCTACGGTCCACAATCTGATTGAGCTGATACCACTGAACCAACTTTGCGGTTTCTGTTGCTTCAGTATGCGCTTCATTGTGTTTGTGGACCTCATCAGTACAATCATTCAGCCTGTCACTGTCGCTT